TTTTATTTGATGATGGCATGGGTATAAGCTGAGTGGCACAGCTGTTATTGTTCAGTAGTTGCCCAAACTTCTGCATACTTGCACAGACACAAGGTGGCTATTAGTGTTTTTGTGATAAAAGCTTTGGGGTAAACTCTCGATTCTCACAATGGAAGTTTTAAATAAGCAATCGAGTGTATGCCGTAAGCTTATGCCCTGAGACAAGAGAGCAGGAAACACGATTTTAGCAGATTGCTCTCTGTGCTGTAGGCGCACTATACCATGAAGTGTGAATTAATAATGTCTGCACGTTCAGCAGTAGAAAAACTAGTATTTCCTTTTAGTCTCTTAACAGAAGCCCCTGCCACCTGGCTGAGGAAACTGTTCTGATCGTATTGTATAAAGCACCCTGTCATTCTAGAATCAGGATGTAGTTTCATCCAGTTCCAGGATGATCTCTTTAGACAACTGGGTTTTCTCTTGTAGAGTTCTTAGCCTGATAGTGATCGGAGTAAAGATTCATAAACAGTGGCTTATCCACATTTTCTGATTATTGACACTTAAGCTCCTACCCTCATTCTTTCATTATTTCCTGTTCTTTTTTTTTCTTTTACACTTTAAAACTTTTCCTTCTTGTATCGGAAATCTGCTGGCAGACTTGGGACTGGTTGTGGGTAAGGCCTGCTATTAAAGTTATCTTAGGAAAACATTCGACTGCTGGTTTGGAAGGAAATGTTTAGCAGCTCTGATGGCACTGCTGGAGCTCAGTGGGCTTGGATTTAATTTCTATGCACGCACTTTCTTCTGTTCAGTAGAGGTAGGAGTCTGTTGTTTCAAAGCTGAGCATCAGAATAGGGTGGTGCTATGTGAATGCTTATCTCAGTCGTCTCTTTGTAGTGTGTTGTAAACGTGTGAACTACTAGTGTATGTTTTGGTTACTATATACAATCATTCCTTCTATGTACTTACTATTCACACTTACACTGAAGGGAGAGCTTGTTAGCATTTTGTACTCTGAGAAAAGTGAAAGAAATCCCCCGCCCCGAGTAAAAGAAATGTAACTTCATTTTCAGTGAATTCTAGGAAGTCTTTAGTTTATTTCTTTAATTCCTCCTTGACCCAGTGATAATTCAGTTGAACTTTATTTAGTTTCCATGTGTTTGTAGGCTTTCTGTATTTTGTGTTGTTGAATTCTAACTTTAATCCATGGTGATCCAATAAGATACAGGGGTTTATTAATCTCTGTTATCTGTTGAGATTTGCTTTGTGAGAAAGTTCCATGAGGTGCTGAAAAGAATGTATATTCTTTTGTGTTTGGGTAGACTGTTCTATATATGTCTGTTAAGTCCATTTGAGTCATATTGTCTGTTAGTTTTCTTTTTTCTCTGTTAAGTTTCTGTCTAGCAGACCCACCCCTTGGTGAGAATGGGGTGTTGAAGTCTCCTACTTTTATTATATGGAGTTTGATATGTGATTTAAGATTGAATAATTTTTTTACATGTGTAGGTGCCTTTGAACTTAAATGTTCAGAATTGAGACTTTATCTTGATGGATTTTTTTCTGTGATGAATATGAAATATCCTTCTCCATCTCTTTTGATTAATTTTAGTTTGAAGTCTAGCTTGTTATCTATTAGTGTAGCTATACCGGCTTGCTTCTTACGTCCATTTGATTGGAAAATCTTTTCCCAATCCTTTGCTCTGAGGTAAAGTCTGTCTTTGAAGTTGAGGTGTGTTTCTTACATGCAGCATATGTTTGGCTCCTGTTTCCGAATCCATTCTGTTAGCCTTCTATAAGTGTCTTCTTATAGGTGAATTAAATCTGTTGATATTAGGGATATTAATGCCCAGTGATTGCTAGTTCCTGTTATTTTTGATTTTGCTATTGGTAGTGGCATTGTGTGTGTGTGTCCCCCCCCCCCCTTTTTTGGATTTGCTGGTGTGGGATTATCTATTGCTTGTGTTTTCATGGATGTAGCTGACTTCTTTGGGTTGGACTTTTCCTTCTAGTACTTTCTGTAGGGCTGGATTTATGGATAGGTATTGTTTAAATCTGGTTTTGTCATGGAACATCTTGTTTTCCTCCATCTATGGTGATTGAAAGTTTTGCTGGGTATAGTAGTCTGGGCTGGCATCCATGTTCTCTTAGTGTCTGCATAATCCCTGTCCAGAACCTCCTGGCTTTCATTATTTCCATTGATAAGTCAGGTATAATTCTGATAGGTCTGCCTTTATATGTTACTTGGCCCCTTTCCTTTGCAGCTCTTAATATTCTTTCTTTATTCTGTATGGTAGTGTTTTGATTACTATGTGGTATGGGGACTTTGCTTTTTGGTCCAGTCTGTTTGCTGTTCTGTAAGCTTCTTGTATCTTCATAGGCATATCCTTCTTTAGGTTGGGAAAGTTTTTTTCTATGATTTTATTGAATATATTTTCTTTGTCTTTGAGCCGGTATTCTCCTTCTATCCCTATTAATTTTTAGGTTTGGTCTTTTCATGGCGTCTCAGATTTTCTGAATGTTTTGTGTTATGCCTTTGATGTCTTTAACATTTTCCTTGACCAGTCTTCAGCATCAGAGATTTTTCTCTTCCATTTCTTGTATTCTGTTGGTTATGCTTGCATTTGTATTTTCTGTTGGTTTAGCCAGATTTTTCATTTCCAGAATTCCCCCAGTTTGTGTTTTCTTTATTGCCTCTATTTCGATTTTCAAGTCTTGAATTGTTTCTTTCACCTGTTTGTTTCTTTCTTGACTTTCTTGGCTTTGTTTAAGGGATTTAATGATTTCTTTCTATCTTTCTTTTTTTTTTTGCTTGTTTTTGATTTTTTTAAGTTAATTTTTCATTTCCTCTTTAAGGACCTCTATCATCTTCATAAAGTTATTTTTAAAGTCATTTTTTTTCTGCTTCTTCTGCATTGGGATGTTCAGATCTTGCTGTTGTGGAACCACTAGGATCTGGTGGTACCATATTGCTCTTTATGTTGTTGGATGTGTTCTTGCACTGCCTTCTACCCATCACTTCCTTCAATAGGTGCAGGTAGTGTCTGTGCCTCTGGAGGGCCGCTCTTTGTTGACTAAGGGTCTGTCCTGCCCTGTTCCTGCAGTCATTAAGTCCCAAAGAAATCACACAGAGGTCTACATTAATCATAAACTGGTTGACTTAGTATCTCAGGCTTCTTATTAACTCTTATGACTCATAATTCTTGCGTGTGTTAGCAACATGGCTTGGTACCTTTTTCGGCGAGACAGTCACATCTTGCTTCCTCTTCGTCCGGGTTATGGCTGAGGACTGAAACTTTCTCTTCCCAGAATTCTCCTGTTCTCATTGTGCTGCCTCTACTTCCTGCCTGGTCACCCCGCCTATACTTTCTGCCTGGCTAGTGGCTAATCAGCATTTTATTAAAAATAATACAAGTGACAGGATAAAAGACCATTATCCCACAGCAGCTCTTAGTCCAATTGGTGCAGTTGGTGTCTGTGCTTTGTGGGAGGGGGATGCTGGCGCTGTGGATATGGTTGGGTTTGTGGGGCGGAGTAGGACTTGTAGATTACAGGGTCCAATGGGAGTGGAGGCTGATTGGCTAGTTGGGCTGCAATGGGTGAGGGAGGGTCATGGGATGTGCCCCAGGGCCTAGAGCCTAAAGATGGAGCTGTCCAGCTGGGACAGTAGTCAGTCACCTCTTTTGTCCAGTAGGTGCAGGCGGCATCTCTTGCCCTTTATTTTTATCATAGTACCTGTCAGTCTCTGTCTGTCTGTGTGTCCATCCGTCTGTCCGTCTGTCCACCCACTCACTCACCTGTCTGTTCCTTTGATGAAACATAGATCAAAACCAACTTGTGGATGAAAGTGTTTATTTCGTTGTCACAGTCTGTCACTGAGGGAAGAAAGGGCAGGAACTGAAGCAGAGCCCACGGGTGGAGTGCTACTTACTGGCTTGCTCTTCGTGACTAGTTCAGGTTACTTTCTTACACAACCCAGGACCACCTGCCCTGGAGTAGCACTGCCCACAGTGGGCTGACCTCTCCATATCAATCATTAGTTAAGAACATGCCCCATAGACAGAGGATGACTATTTCTCAAGTGAGAGTTCCTCTTTAGGGTATCTCTAGTGTATGCCAAGTTAACAAAACACCTAGTCAGCATACTCCCCAAGTTGTTTTTGGTCAGAATGTTTTATCACAGCAATAGAAAGCAAACTAGGACAAGTTACACATATGTTTTTTTTTTTCACATATGTTATTTTTAAGCAAGCATAAAATAATGTTCCCTCTGGCTCTTAGCATCCTTAGCGTTGTTTATCCTTTCTCCCGTCCCTTTCCCTGCATTGCCTTGACTCTCATTTCCCAGTTAAAACTCTTCCGCAACCCCTGGAAACATTAAGAGTTTACCGTTTCAGTTTCTATTCCTAGTTCTATGAAAATTTAAATTCAAAGTTGATTTTGAGTGCAGTATTAGTTACTTTCCTTGTCACAGTGAGCAAAAAAAATTAATAAAATCAAAATACCTTATACAAGCAGTGTGAGGAAAGACATGTTTATTTTGGTTTATGGTTTCTGGGCAATGGCTAGGAAGGCAGGGTGGCAGGAACATGTTGCAGACCCCTCTCGAACGGTGTTAAACCAGCAAGCAGAGAGAGGCGCTAGGCTGGGCTCTATGTTCAAGGCCTGCCCTGTCACCTCCAACCCCATCTTCCAGTCAAGGCAAGGTTCTGTGTCCCAAAATAGCACCACCAGCTCAAGACCAGATGCTCAAACATGGAGGTGGGTGAGGGGCACATCTGATTGAAATTAAGACCACAGCAGAGGCTTCGATTTGTTGTCCTAGAAGTGTTTGCTGTGGTAGTAAATTTATGCTCTGAGTTTATACACAGTGAAAACAGATAAATCAGTTGGTATTCTGAAGCTGCATCTAGCTCATTTTAATTTTATTAATTTTTTTGTAAGCAGTATTGCTTTTATGTTTTATTAGTTTTATGACTATTATTCTCAGGATAACAGTCCATCTAAATTTGATCTCTCCACAGATTCGGACCAGGATGTAGCACTCAAACTTGCTCAGGAACGAGCTGAAATAGTTGCTAAATATGACAGAGTAAGTATCTTTATTTATTCTTTGAGTAGGCTTTATTTAAAAATCCATATAAATATCCTTACTCAGTGGTAAAAAAAACAATGACATTTTGAATTTTGCATGCAAATGGATGGAAATAGAAAACACTATACTGAGTGAGGTAACCCAGACCCCAAAAGATGAATGTGGTTATGTACTCACTCATAAGTGGATTCTAGCCATAAATAAAGGACATTGAGCCTAAAAAAAAAAATCCTTATAAATAGAAAAGGGCTTAATTTTTGGAGAGCTGAAATAACAAGGCGTTTGTTCCCTTTGTGAAAACATTGAGTTCAATCCTTTTTTCTCTTATTTCTGAAAATTCTCCCTCTCTCCTTTTTGCCTCCCCCCCCCATCCAATTTGTGCTGCCCATATGTACATGGGTGTGCAGCTATCCAGTGGAGCATGCTCAACCTTCCAGGGACCACACCTCTAAAGGAAACTGCCTCTACCTCTCTTGACATCCATCCCCTGTCAGGTGCCATGTCAACCTACGAAGATGCCAGGAGTCTGGTGAAAGGTTTATAGCAGACTCTTAGTTAACAAGTTAACGGGGGGTGGGGTGGGTGTCTTACATACCATCAGCACCCTGCCGTTCCCATCTGTTGACATTGCATGGCCACCCTTCATTTCACTAGACATGATCAGGACCTCTGACAGCACCTGTTGCTAGGCCCTCAGGCAGCGTCACATGGTTACCCCTCATTGGCTAGGCACTATCACTCTAACAGCGCCAGACCAACTCCAGATTCTGTCCTCTTGGGCCTTCACTTCCTACAGGCATGAGCTGCCAGGCTGGTCATTATTGTAGTTTTCAGAGTTCACAACTGGGTCAGACTGCTGATCTCTTCTCCCCCAATAGTCTACATAGCACCTCCTAATTCTAAGAAAACTAGCCAGCAGGGAGGTATTTATAAAAGAACAGATTTCTTTATGGCCTGTATAGACATTGTTAGTGTTCGTCGTCCCCTCCTCTCTGTTTCCCCTCCCATCTTCTTTCCCTTTCTCCCTTTATATCACCTTAGCATGGAATATTTCTTAGTTTTGATGTAAAAGGTTTTAATCAATTTATTACCAATAATTTCTCCATATTTGTCTCTTTTAATGGGTCATAACATTTATTTGTAGGTGCCATGTTCTACATCTGCATCACTTAGCACTGGTTATTCATACTTGCAGTCACTTTTTCCCCACCACGCAGGGCTCACCCATATGTAGCCTAAGGTAGGCACTGGGAAACCTTTTTTGACAGTCCTTGCCCATAGGATGTTCATAATCTGCTTGAAGGAAAACATATGGGCAGCCATTATAAAATACACTTAAATGGAAGAAGTTTCTACAAGTCTAAAATTTGAAGGGTTGGTCCATTGTATTTGGGGGTTTTAAACTTTTCATTGTTAGCCTATGAATAAGTGGTACCTAGAGTACTTAGAATGGTGTTCTGGGGAAAGCATTTCCAGTGCACCAACAGTTAAGAGTCACCTATGAAGAAGCAATCATCAGAGAGTTGGAGTGCCTGAAGAAAACTCAAGGGATCAGCAGGGGGCAGTGCTGTGCAAGTGGGGAGGACAGAGAGCACGAGAGCCATTGCCAAGTAGTCCTTGCATGTTCAGCACTACAAACTACAAACTGAAGAGTGCTCTCAGTTTGCCAAGCCTTGAACTCATAGAGATCCACTTCCCACCTGCCTGTGCCTCCTGAGTGCTGGGATTAAATACATGTGCCACCGTACCCTTTTGGAAGTCTTTTTTTTTTTTTTTTTTTGCTTTGGCCATAAGAGTGGGTTCAGGGCCGGTGTAGTTGGGAAACCAAACAGTGGAGAAACAAAGCACACACATTTCCTTCTCAGAGAGGGTGCATGAAAGGCCTGTTCTGGACAGTTCACTTGAGCACTTAGGTTAAGGTGTGTCAATTTCTTCTGGAGTAGCTTTCTTGCTCATTGACTTCTCTCAGGACATCTTTTGATGGAGAAGTAGCTATGTTAGCTCTTGCTGACACAGTACTTTCCATAGCTAATAATTAAGGAGCAGTGATTACATTGCCAAAATAGTTGAGTTAAAAAATAGTCATGTATTTGATCTGTCTGAGTAAAATACTTGGTGTTATAAATTCTCAGTAACTCCTTTTGTCATCTCTTGTTTTAGGGGCGAGAGGGTGCGGAAATTGAGCCTTGGGAAGATGCTGATTATCTTGTTTACAAAGTCACTGATAGATTTGGCTTTTTACAGTAAGTCACACAGGTTGGAAGCTGTTGTTTTTCAGTTAAAATCTTACTATGGCCATCCGTTATTAAATTTAGAATTTTTCTAAGACTTCAGGAGTGCTCTCGCATACTTTCTGGTTCCTAGGATTTTAAACTACTGTGATTAAAATTTAGCCATAGTTAAGAATATAACCTTTATACCATTCGTGTTTTGTAAAGAGCACAGTAAGTGTGTAAATGAGTTATATTAATTATTTACCAGAGTTAAATGCACATGGATAGCAGTTTATATTTCTAAAATAATTATAAAGCATTTGATTTGACATAGATGAGTTTTAAAGTAACTAGCAATTAGAATATGAGTGTTGCCTATAAATGAGCAATGAAAAATATGCCATTGATCTTCCTTATAGTTATAAATGTAATCATGATAATGCTTTTCAAAATTAACTCTATTTATCTTGGCTGATGTATAAAAACTCCAGAGAGGGGGCTAGACTACTGTAAAGTAATCTAGTTAAAGGATATTTGTCTCTTAAAAATATCCTGCAGACTGATGTCAGTCTGCTTGTTTAGGTCCTAGTGTTATCTAAGTTGGTGTGCCTTTTAGCAGTGTGCATTCTTTTTGCTGTCAGTGAATGATTTCATACTTCATCTATTGAAAAGAATAAAAATTATATATATATCATAAGTGTTTGGAGGCTTTGAAGAAATCAAATATAGGAATATTTATAAAGTTCTTATTATGGTTTGAGATGGTGCCTATCTGAAATTTTCTCCTGGATAGTTACTAATCCAGAGACTTTGAACTTTGGTAGACAACAGAGCAGTGTCTATAATGAAAGTACTGTTCTCAACTCCTGCTTCATTATTTTTATTTCTCCCTCTTCTTTTGTTTCACTTCCCCTTTCTCCTTCCTTTTGTCCTCCTTCTCTCCCTCTCCCTCCTGTACACCATCATCAAACATAGCCACAACTGTGATGGGAAGCCATTGTACATTTGTGTGAGTCAAGTGCAGAACTGGGATGTGAATCAGATTTTGAAGTACAATTAATTGCACATTAGAATCAGTTGAAGAAAAAGATTTCTGGATTCTGCACTAGGTTTTGATTCAGCAGATAGGATGCAATTCAGTTTATTCTGACCATTCTATCCTTATGATAATGTGTTTTTTAGAATTATAATATAATTCAAGTAGTATGAAATACATATTAAAAACCCATACATTCCAAAAGGGTCTGTTAATTACCTAAATTTTCTTTCTTGTCTGTTGAAACAGATTTAAGTGTTACAAACACGTTCTTGCCCTAGATCCTAACTTGTATCTGTCAGTTGGAAAGTTGTAGTCAGGGTTATTGTTTCTTCCTTGTTTGTTTGTTTTTATTTTATTTTGTATTTTAAACTTTGAGCTAATGTTTGATTAGTTATAGTGGGGAATATTAGTCGATAACTTACCTTGATAGTAGTAGTGAGCGCTCATTGAGCCCTTGCTGCTGTCAGGGGTGTTCTAAGCATTTACTCATTCAAAACTTCTTTGGGGTGGGTTCTCTTTCTCTGGTTTTTAGATGGTGAACCTATAGTTCAAAGAACTCGAGTAAATTGTTGAGTTTATGGACAGTGTCAGCTCCTAGGATAGGGTGGCTCTAGGACAGGTCTCACTCCAGAGTCATGTTCTGAGTTGCTGTGGTGTGCTGCCTGTTTCTGCCTTCTTTTGATTTAGTGAGAGAAATACAGGATAATTGTTTTGAGATGACTACAGAGGAGGCTGAAATGACTTCTTCTATTGACATCCATACTAAGATAGCAAAGGTCACCACATTTTTGAAAATGAGACTGATTGGTCTTAGTCACATTCGTTCAAAAGCCCCCCCCCCTTTTTTGTGTGTGTGTTTTATGTTGGAGTCCCAAACCAGAAGCCTAAATAGGAATGGTGAGTCAGAGGAGTGGATTCCAGTGTGACGTTAGGCTTTTTCAGTTGGTTTTTGTAACAGTGCCTACTCTCAGTAAAGCACTTTCCCCAGAGTTTGCTGCAGGCATCTTTTAATGCTTGCCACAGTAGATGGGGCTTTATCATACTGTTGGATAAAGTTTTTGCTGCAAGCATCCAGATGTTTCTTTCACACCTTAATTAAAGAGCACCTCTTCTATCTTAGCTGTGTATAAGTCTTGATAGCTGCTGCAATTGAAATTAGATTTTAAATTAATTGTCAATACAATAAAAAGAACAACCTCCCATCCTTCTCTGGATATTGCTCAGTTCATATCTAGCTATAGCTTTAGAAACTTAAATTCTTTGTTATGATGAGTAAAGGAGTGAAAGTAGTTAACACAGTATAGATTGACTTGGTTTGATAATAGCATTCACAATATGTCCGGAAGCTATTGGCAAAACAGCCTGGGATGGGGGTTGCAGCTACAGAGTGGAAAAGTTGAGCTTGCTTAAGCGGTTGTAGAAGTTTAAATGTTTTAATCAAAACTAGCTACCACAGCTCTGCTGGACAGAATGCTTGGCATTTGAACAATGGTAAATAATGCTTTTAGGTCACAGGCTTTTAATAGGAGAAAGAAATAAAAGGAAACTACCAAAAATAAAGGAGATCAAATTAACTCTAAGCATCAGATGCTCAACTACTTATTCAAATTTGTTTATTTATAAAATGTAGTGGACTGCCCATAGGTTCCCTTGCTTATCAAGATTAACTGTTTTGATTAGGAAGGCTTGGAACTCTTTTATCAGTTTTATACGTAAATTTTAGCTAGATTGAATCTAAACTTAGATAAAATTTGGTTTAAAACCAGAATTGAACCCTAGTCAATATATTTTACTTAACTGATTTTAACTCTTAACAAATTAGGTTTCCAAGTGAATGTTTATTTCACATTTACAGAAATATTCCCATGAATTGTTGAGAAATGACAGAGACATACTTAGTAATACCAAATTAAAACCTAATCCAGATGAAAAGCATGCCAGCTCAGGTTTCTGCTGTGTTCACTCACTCTTTATTTGGAAGGGCTGCCGTCAGCACAGTGTTCTGAGTATTCCTCAGGTGTCGCAGGCCATAGTCTCTAAAGCAGCACTTCTCTAGTGGGTTGCTACCACCACAGGGGTCTACTAGCAGATAGCCTGTTATTTACATTACAATTCATAACAGTAGCAAATTACAATTATGCAGTTCCTATGAAATAATTTTTGTGTTTGGGGTCACCACAACATGAGAAACTATTTAAAGGGTTGCAGCATTAGGAAGGTTGAGAACCACTGCTTAGAGCAGAGGATAGATAGTAGTCATGTGTTACCAAGAACCAGGTGCTAAGTGGTTTTGGATTTGTAGACAGACCATGTGTTTTTGTTCTGCTCTGTCTTGTACTCTGCTGCTCTAGTGTGAAAACAGCCCCAGTGTCTAATGAGTAAGAATGACAGTGTGCCATTCAAACTTTATTTACTGAAATAGACAACAAACAAGGTTTGACCTGTGGGTCATGGTTTGCTGACCTGAAGGAATACTCATCTATGTATTCCAAACTGTGTTCGTTCCTCCTTTCTACTTGATGGAGGTTTTGGTAGCAAGATAGAGATTATTGGAGCCAATGTGGTGGTGCATGCCTTTAATACCAACACTTAGAATGCAGAGGCAGACCAACCTGGTCGACAAAGTGAGTTTCAGGTTAGTCAGGGCTACACAGAGAAATCTTGTTTTAAAAGGAAAAAAGAAAGGAAGGAAGGAAAGAAAAACGAAAGATACAGATTATTGACATAAGCAAAACGTGATTTTTAGTACACATCTGTTTGGCATATTTACTGAATACCTTGACTGTTCCAGCTCATGTTCTGGACAACACACAGGACTCTTAGTGAGGTGGCATTCTCTGTTCTCAGGTGACTGTGAGCCTCAGTGTATGTCACCAAAGAGATTTGAGAGCAAAATCTGTGAACACAACAGATTCTGCATGGAAAGTTTTAGATATAAGATATGAGAACCCAATCTTGCTGTCATCCGCATGAATGCTGAAGCCTGTATTTGATTTCCTCAGTCCATACCCTTCTTATTTGTAGACTCTTGCAATAGCTGAAGAACATTTAAGTGTTCTGGATTATGTTGTATTGAATATTTCTGTGTTAGGCTAAGTGACTAAGTGAAAATCTTGATTATTTATGAAAAATGGGATTTGGGTTTTCTCTCTAAATTCTCTTGGCTTTTATATCACTTTTGTCTGTTTCATTGCTGTGGCTCAATGGTTCATCTAAGGACTCTTCAGAGAAGCAAAGAATGACAGAAATGCTAGCTCTTGAATAATAACCTGTCATGTTTTCAAAATCATGCCACTTGATCTCAAGAGAAAACAGAAGCAAGAATATGCACATATTATTGTCAAAACATCCATACTATTGAGAAAGCTGCTGAAATCAACTTTGTTTATATGAAATACTTTATTTATTACTAACAGTTAATATAAGAGTCTCAGGATATTTTAATATTAGAGGTGATGGCATACATGAGCCAGAGAAATGGTTTTCTTCTTTTTATATTAAAAAATACTGTTGAAGTTATAGCAGTAAAGCTTTATTTTACAGATTAAAAGTGGAAGTTTCCTTTTAATTCACAAGTCCATTGGAAGCCAACTTTTCTCTTTTTTTGATACTAGTAATTAAACGTAAGGCCCCACTCTTGCCAGAAATGTACCATATCTTACCACTGAATTACATCTTTAGCCTCCGTGTGTGTGTGTGTGTGTGTGTGTGTGTGTGTGTGTACGCACACGCAGTTGCTAAGGATTAAACTCAAGTCCTCATGCTTGCATAGCAAACACTACTACAAACTAAGCCATCTCTCCTGCTCCCGCAACCCTCATTTTATGATTTTACTTTGAGATGGGGTCTCACTCAGTTGCCAAGGCAGGCTTTGCATTCACTGAAACCCAGGAAGTTGTTGAATTTGGTATTTTTCTTCTACTCACCCCCTTGATTAGCTGGGATTTCAGTCCTCTTCCTCCAGACCTGGCTCCATATTTTTTTCTTCATGCAAAATTTTAGGTAGTAATTTATTTTAGGCAGTAGTTTGATCCAGGAGTGAAGGTGATAGTCTAGCACAAGATGGCAGACTGACATGTGGGTCAGGGCCAAATCCAGTTTACCACTTGGTTTGTAGAAGTTCTGTGGAGCTTAGTGTACCTGTCGTTTGTGAGCACTGCCACACTAGAGTCCAGGGAGTTGTGAGAAAGAGTGTGTAGAACATTTCCTACTGACTGTGACAGGAGTTGCTGAGCCTGGTCTAGGGCAGTGTTCTCCAACAGAATTTTCTGCCATGACAGAAATGTTCAATGTGCCTCTAACAACATGACTTTTTTGTAGTCAGGTGGTAGCTTATTTCTAACTGCTCCCTGTAGGATAGAAACTACTGTGTTTGAAGATGAACAGTGTTATCATTATAGACCAGCATTATTTGTTGTTGAATTTGGTGGAATGGCAGGAAACATGAAACACGCATCTCTTATAGTGACATATGACATATGCCTGTAGGATACAATCAGTAAAAACTGCTCTGATTTCAACCATTTCATGTATGTTGTTATTCTCTGCAGTGAGGAGGAGCTCCCATATCATAATGCAGCTGCAGAGCGGGTAAGTGTGGCTCTTTGTTTATTTGTAGTTATTGATGAATTTCCTCTAGAGGAACAGAATCTGCTTTTGTGATATTTTGAGTGCTGAATCATACGTAACTGGCATCATTAGAATTTGATCATAATTGTATTGCTGTTATGAAAGGAATTCAAATAAGGGTGAAATAAGAGGATTTATAAGATTCTCATCTTTCTTTAAAATTAAGGAAAAAGGAGCAGGGTGGTGGTGGCGCATACCTTTAATCCCAACAGGAGGAGGCAGAGGCAGGAGGATCTCTGTGAGTTCAAGGTCAGCTTGGTCTACAAGAATTAGTTCCAGGACAGGCTCCAAAGCTGCAGAGAAACACTGTATTGAAAAAACAAAAACAAAACAAAAAAAGTAAGGAAAAGGTCAGCAGTCTAAAATGCTCAGCCCCAGCTTAAGGCTCTACCTGTATGAAACACTTCTCTGTGGCAGGAATTTCCATCCATCCATATTGTGTGTGTGTGTGGGGGGGGGTAATTCAGTTTTTTTCTCTCATTTTTGTTAATTTTTTGAAAAGTATACCCAGTGTATTTCGATCACACCTTTCTCCCATCCTCCTTTCCTACCCATTCAACTCTGTGTCCTTTTTTTGTTTTTATTCCATCAAGTACAGTCTGTGCTGCCCAGATACGCCTGAATGTGTAGCCTTCAATGGAGAGTGGTCAACCATAAAGAAAATTGATTCTCCCTCCTTCCTCTCCCAACAGCTGTCAACTTCCAATAGCTTCTGAACTAGGGGTGTGACTTCTTCCCAACCTTCCTTCTCCAACTGAAATTTTGTCTGGCTTGAGTTTGTGCAGATCTTATGCTTGCTTTCACAACTACTGCGAGCTCATCTGTATAGCTGCCCTGCCGTGTCCAGAAAACAGTTTCCGTATAATATCCACTGTCTGTGACTCCCAGGCTCTTCTATCATAATATCTGAGCCTCAGAGGAGAGGGTGTGGTATAGATGTCTGTTGAAGGAGCTGTGGGCTGCGTTCCTGCCGCCCGGCTCCCGGCCACCTGGCTAGCTTATGCCCCAAAATGACAACACACAAATTGTATTCATTTAAGCACCGCCTGGCCCATTTACTCTAGCTTCTTACTGGCTAATTCTTACATCTTGATTACCCGTTACTATTAATGTGTGTAGCACCCCAAGGTGCGCTTACCGGGAAGATTCTAGCCTACGTCCATCCTGGGTCGGAGCCTCATCGTGTCTGCTCTGGAGAGGAGCAGGCATGCCGTCTGTCTGAGGCATCTTACCTCACTTCCTCTTCCTCCCAGCATTCTGATCTGTTTACTCCACCCACCTAAAGGCTGGCCTATCAAATGGGCCAAGGCAGTTTCTTTATTAGCCAATGACCTTCCTCCATCAGATGTCCCATTTCAGACTGAGCATTTCACAATCCCTTATTCTCTACATCTGAACAGTTGTGAGTTTCTGGGTTAATCACCATCCACTGTAAAAGAAGCTTCTCTGATGAGTTATACTAATCTATGGGTATAACAATAAGTCATTAGGAGTAAGGCATCCCAACTGATCATTATGTATGCTCTGGATAATAAAGCACCATTCTAGACCTATAGCTCCATAGAATGTAGCTGTCCATGAGATTTTATCAGCTCCCCTCAAGTAATGCATAGAACGTTTCCCATCATCAGTTACCTTTTCACATTTTAAGGACTAGACAAGTGACACAGTCACCTGTCAGCTTTTCTGTAAACATTGTTCACTATCCTTAGCCAGGAGCTGGGTCTACACCTGGGCATACCTGAGAAGTAGAGATTAGAAGTTTGAATTGTTCATAATCACTTTACTCCTCTGTTCTCTTCCAAAATAAACTGTAGAATGAAAGTGAAGGTGTGTGTGTGTGTTCTACTGGGGAAGGGGCTGAGCTTCAGACAATGCAGGTGAAATTAATTATAATTTGAAAAATATTTTAGGAAAATTTTCTGAGATCAAATTTTTTTGAAAATCAAAACTGTAGAAAACCCTTAAGATGTAAAGAATTGTTATTTGCATATATGAAGAACAGCTGTGAACACCTGTGGGTGAAAGGTTGCCAGATTCTCTGGCAACATCATAGCCTAGATACTTTGACAGGGAACTTTCAATGGCTGCATCGCTGGGTGGCGTGTGTCTTGCCCTGGACTAGCTACTGCTTACGATCCCAGGACTGAGGAAAGGACATTTTTTGTTTGTTTTCTTTTTTTTTTTTCTGCTTGTGAGAAGCCCTCTGTCCAGTGACTAGAGGAGCCATTTGAGGCAAGATGGGAGATGATTGATAAGGGACTCAGGTCTTTAGTACTGCTGAAGTGACCTGGAGGTCAGGAAAGCAATCTGTGTAGATCAAGAGTACATGAAAAGGAAGAGGCAGTGATGGTGACCATCTTGTGAGTTCTGCCTTATGGGAACTTTGTGTCAGACTGTCCTAAGTGGCAGCATAAAGATTTGCTTCTGCCTTGCCCTGCTTTACTAATCATCTGGTCCACTGTTACACACACAGGGCCTCCATCTTTGCTCAGCTCCAATGCTGTTGTAACCATTACAGATAGTCTGTCTTATGATAGTTTTGCCTAAAGTTTGCTCCCTCCCTCCGTCCGTCCCTCCCTTCGTCCGTCCCTCCCTCTGTCTGTCCCTCCCTCCGTCTGTCCCTCCCTCCCTCCCTCCCTAGTGCCACAAAATCCATACTTTAGATTTTGAATTTTGATCTTTTCCTTGGCCTATTGGTTGACAGTTCTGCCCAGTAGACAAATGTCCCTGTCACAGTGAACGTGTGCTCCTTCTCCCCGACTCCAGCCCACAGCCTTCTGAGTTGTCTTTGACTCTCCTCAGACCCCATCTCATCTCTCAACCAATGCTGTGAGCTTGGCCATCCAGGTCTACTCAGAATTTTTTGACTTCATCTTTACTTCTGCTACCTTGGTCCATTGTAATTTTTCTTCTGGAGCTTCCTGTCTTCCTAGCTCAGCCCTTGCCCCTTTCTCTCACTGTTTTAGCTGTTCACCACAAACAATTAGAAGGATCCTGTTAAAATGAGTTAAAATCATGCCACTTTCTGATCAGAATCTCCTAATACCTCCCCTGTTCATCCACAGTAAAGCTCAAGTGCTAAGAGTGATCCTCAAGGTGTTGTAGGACCTCACTCTTTGCCTTGTGCTACCTCCTTTCATTCAATTCCTGGCTCCCTAGTATCTCCTGAATGTGTGGGTGGGACAGAGTTCCTCTCAAGGCTTTCCCACTGGCTTCTTCTTGTGGGGTGTTTTGCTGTCCTCATAGTAATTGCAAGGCTCAACCTCTTTAGTTCCTTCAAGAATTTACTCTAATATCACTTATAGGATATGATTGTTCATAGTCATCTAACCTAAAGTTGGGAACTTCTCTCCGATGTTAATAATCTTCTTTATTTTTTTTCTGTATTGTACATAACACAGTTTACATGTTAGATATTTTGAAGATCTTTTTCACTCATCTGTTTCTCCCACTAGGTTGTAATCTGTATGAGTCACATACCACCTTCTTTATAGCACTGAATATATTGACTTAAAAGCTGCTGGAGTTTGCAGATATTGTAGGGTCCTGAACTAGAAAGGTCAGAGAAAAAAGAATTAAAATTGTTGTTTGTTTTTTAAACAAAGGCTAGGTTGTATTAATCTAGTAAAAACCTCTCTCCAACTCTTCCTTCACTATTTGTAATTTTTTGGTTGAGAAACCTTAGAGTCTTTAATCCAGTAATTGGATAAGCCAAGAAAAGTTCTAGTAAAGAAGAAATGTAAGGCAAATTAGTGGAGGGTACGTGCTTAAAAAGTAAGCATGTTTAATTTTTTTTTTTTAAGACTGAGCTGTATAGTAAGATTCCTGCCCAATACAAGTATGTATATGATTACTTAATTAACTTCTTGTTTGAAGTTCTAATATAATAGGAAATTACTAAAAAGTAATCTGTATATACCTTAATGATTTATTTAAAATTCCAAGCGTGATGGGTGGCACACGCCTTTAATCTCAGCACTCATGAGGCAGAGGCAGGTAGAACTCTATAGTTTGAGACCAACCTAGCTTTCCTAGAGAGTTCCTGGCCACCAGAGGTACACTGTGAAATCCTCCCTACCATTTATGTAAAAAACATTAAGATGAGAACATATTTGTATATTTACTTGTCAGTGGGGTAAGAGAAGGTTTTGAGGTAGTTTCTTCCTTAGAGCCTTTTCACACATTACGTGTGTTTATTTTATGGCCTTCTTTAATTTTTTCTGCATTTATTTGTTATAAATGCACCCATGAATGTATGCAAGCTTGCATGTGTGTGTGTGTGCACATTTGTGTGTGTTATTCACAGCACACATGTGGAGGTTGGTTCTTTCCTTCCACCAGGTGGATACTGAGGTTTCAACTCAGGTTGTCACGCTTGGCAGCAGGTGGCTCTGACTCTTCATGTTATTTCACCAGGTCCCTCACTTTTAAGATATCTAATGTATAATATATAGCACATTAATTACATATATTTATGTAAGGATTTAATATATATTATATGGACTTCTTGGACACATGCAAAGAAGCTAGCATTCTGTCTGCCTATATGTAGTGACCAAGCTCTACCATTGTTAGACAGGTAATAAAAATTTATTTGTATTTTTTTCTTTGAGTTAGATCAAGAAAATGATTGGCTTGCTGAAGTTTACACTCCATAAAGCGTGCAGCTGAAACCGTGTTTCTTGGTACTTAGGAAGACTTGCTCTCTGTCTGTTTGAGTAATCATGACTTCAGTTCTAGCTCTGCCGATGCGTTATTTTATAGGAGACTATTCTCCATTTAAAAGAGGGACAGTAATCCTTTATAAGAGGATTAATGTAGTGTTTGCAAAATTATTTGGGTTTCCTCAAAAAGGCACTTAAACAAATAAACTCATATTTACCCTGTAGAGAACAATATTAATAATGGATTTTATTATTTCCTTGAGCTTATTAATGTTTTTAATAAGGAGGAAAGGTTATATAAAAATGTGAATTTTTATAGATAAAGCCATGAAATGCAGTGCAGTGTTCTTTATAATATATAAAATATGAGCGCCTTTTACTTTTAAATTTTTTATTTTATTTTTTTTTTGTTTGCGTATGCATGCTTATATGCATATGTGCCACTGTGGGCATGTTTTGAGAGGACAACTTTTGGTGGTTGATTCTCTGCATTCATCATGTGAATCCTGCAGATTAAGCTCAAGTTCTCAGGCTTTGTGGTGGGCAAGTGTTTTACCCCTGAACCATTTTGTCAGCCCCAATCCCTTATTTCTTCTAAAAAGTACGACTTCATTTTACATAGCATCAAGTCTTAATGATAAGTGACCATACTTTCCAGTGGCAAGGTATCCTGTACTTCCTATCCTCTTCTGACCTCTGCTGGTGAGATCTAAGCATGGGTGACTCTCAGCAACTTTACTTACATGTCCTTATTGTATAACATGCAGTAAAAACCCCAATTTTGTACTAGTCTCATTGTTACATTATATTTAGCACCTCATATATCTGAGCTTCTCCCCACATGTAAGCAGTTCCTCCAGTGGACAGTTGTTTCAGACCTACAGCTCAGTTCTCAGCAGACTGCTCCCTTGTTGATGCAGACTGAGAGCCCAGATGACTTTAACCTATGGTGTACAGATCAGAGGTATACATGACCTGATGCTTGCGTTTGCTAGAGCAGCTCATAGAACTTAAATGCCGTGCTTACTAGACCCATTTACAAAAAAAAAAATAAATGAAGGAAGGAAGGAAAGAGGGAAAGCAAGCAAGGTGATCACCAGCCTGGAAGTTGTCTAAACCCCATACCTGAAGGATATTAATGGAGTCTTTATGACATAGCCATAGTCAATGTGTGAGACCTGAATTCAATCTTCAGCGCTTGCGCGCTCTGTCTCTGTCTCTGTCTCTCTCTCTCTGTCTCTCTGTCTCTCTCTCTCTCTCTCTCACACACACACACACATACACACACACACGTACACCATCATTTGGGAAACAATTAGAAATTTTAGTGTATAGACTATGAGATGATAATGATTGAATTTGAAATTTCTTGGATAAGAATGGTACAATGATTAGGATAAAATTTTTGTTTTTAAATGGCTGTATCCTTGGAAATATTTAGATATGATGTACTCATATCTGTGATTTTTTAGTGTATTTGCCACACCCCCAAAATAAATAAAATTTGGCAAAAGATTAATACTTGTTAGATTTTCATGAACTACATAGAACATATGATATGTTTTTTTAAAATTTTCATGTAGGTTTGAAGTATTTCAAAATGAAAATAAGAAAAGTAATGTGCTTAAAGTCAAAAGTAAGCCGACAGAATCTATGCTGTCTGAGCTTCTCACACACACCAGCAGTTCTGATTTTCGTCACACTGTGGAAACCATCTGAGAACATTTGGAATGACACTTTATACCATTGTGCTACATGCGGGTATTATAAATTCTTCTGGTTGGTTGTTTCTGTATTACGTGGTGAAGTCATTCTCTTTCCTACTCTACTTGGGAACCACAGGATGGTAGTAATTATTTCACATTGCTGCCTATGTCCTGCTTTATGAAACTATTTAATATGTTGTTTTAAACTCTCTTGTACAACTGTTGTTTTAGGTAATGAAATTAAAAGATAAACATATGCTTTGGTCTCTGTGGTCAAGAAGTTAATGCTATAATAAACAACAACAATAATGTGATTTGAGCACTTAGTCTTCTAGTGTACATGTATTGAGTGCAACAATAATTGTAATGGTTCTCATTCTGTAGAACAGAGAACCAAGGTAAAGAAGGATCAAGTGATTTGTCCCAAGGGAAACCAATAGGAAGAGGCAGAATTCTGACTCAGCTGGGCCTTGGTCCATGCCACTAAATGCTGAGGGAATAGTTGAATTAGCTTGAACATGAAGGCATTTGGGAGAGGTCCTAGATTGTAAACATTTGAACTGAATCTTGAGAAATTACAGAAGATACTGCCAGTGAATGATGTATTAGTTACTTTCTCATTGCTTTGACAAAAATATCTGACAAAAGCTTGTTTTGGAAAGGCTTTTGTTAAGGAAAGGCTTGCTTTGGCAGTTCGGGGTGCAGGGCTTATTTTGATGTGCAGTTCATCATGGCAGGGAAGTCATGCGGTAGAAGTTAGAACATCTGTCTGGTCACATGGCAGTCACAGGAAAACAGATGAGTTCTGGGGCTCAGATCACTTTCTACTTTTTTAGTCAGGTTCAGACCCCAACCAGCCTCAGTTAACTCATTTTAGAAACTCCCTCCCAGTTATAATCAGAGCTTTGTCTCCTGTGTGGTTGTACATCTGTCAAGTTGACAGTAAGCGTGAGCCATCACAGGTGGTGAGGAAAAGCACCACTAGCAGACAAATAGCAGAACTTGGTCAGAGAGGCTTGGTTGTGTGTTGGGAATAACCAGCAGTTCAGGACAACAGATTTGAGTTGAGAGTGTCTGTTAAAATCTCAGGTAGAAATCCTGACACAACTGTTGTATTCTACTTTCATTTTGGTGTAAATGAATCTGTGGCTTACTGATGCTCTGTAGCCTGTTTTTCTAGGGCACTTAAGTTCACAATTATCATATGTGGTTTCAGTTACTCTTCAAAACAATTATTAGAACAGTCAGCTTCAGTATATTTGGTGAGAAAGTAGGTTTTAGCCATGAATTACTGATTGGAGTGGAGAGGGAGACTTTGTGCATTCAAGTCTGGGGTAGTGAAATGATAGTATTGCAGAGTTAGCACTTAAGCTTAACTGATATTTAAACTCCTACACTAGGAGATTATCCAAGGTTTAAATTTTTTATCTGTATAGAAGAAAGAAAAGCATGTTTAATGGTTCTTCAGGATGCAAAAATGGATGGCAAACATTAATATGCAAAAGTGTATCTAAAAAAAAAGAATACTACTTACTAAAGTGGTATATTGGTAATTCATGAAATCAAAGTGAAAGTTAGCAAGAGATGTCTGGGTCCCATAGGGCTGCTTGGGCTAAGTGTGTATCATGCTCTTGTGCTGATGTGGATTATGTGGGTGTTTTCCTGTTGGTAGAGGAGGAGGTTATGCTATAAGAAGTCAAAGGATGGAATGGGGAATAACAAAAACACAGCAAATGGCCCCTTAACCAGACCCTGGTTCTTCACAGTTTGGCCTTCTCTAAAGTCAGATTTAGCACATTTAGCAAAACATTAATTAGATTTCAGTGCCCCACTGAGTTTTAAAATTAAACATATTTCTGGAACCATCTGCATCATTTTATCACTAATATAATAAAAATCGTGTTTATCCTTTTGAAAAATGGGAATTAACGTTCTTTTGCTCACAAGTGATTATCTTTTATTATAAAAACTTTAAAGAGTTAGAAAGTACTTATAGAGTTTTATGAATATACCTAAAGGTAAATTCTCTAAAATCATTCTCATTGGTGAGTATCTGTTCTTAAATTCAGGATTTTCCTTGGGGATTTATGTTTTTAGATCTTAAATTATTGGTGGTGGGTGTGTGCCATCTGTCAGTGTACTGCCTGCCTGTTTGGGGCTGGAGTGAAGCCAGTCAGTAAGGAGCCATAATTTTCATTCAGGAAACATGATTGCCTGTGTTAGAAAGAATACAGGATGGCAACTGAAGACAGAAGAGAGGCGACAGCAAAGCATAAGGAGAGCCCACCTGCCTGCTCTCTCTCTCTCTGCCCTTGCTAGATTTGTCCCTTAAGCTCTTGTATCTGCTTCCTCAGTGACAGACCTGCCTCATGAGGCTAAAGGGAGCGTGCATCCTTGGAGTGTAAGATGAAGCTGCAGAATTGTTGCCTTTCTTGGGTAGTTGTTTCTTTTCATTGCTTTTTATCATGCATTTAGGTCTCAATACTTAGGGGAAAAGTATTTTTCCCTTGGAAACCCCAAAAGTTAAACCCTGTTAACCTGCCTCAGTGCTCTGCTCTGATGCAGATCTCAGTCTTGATATATGACATACAAGACTCTTCACCTTGTTTCCTTTTTCAACTCTTTGAAACTTCTGTCAGCTCCATGGGGTGCTGAATGATATCAGAATCACACGTATCCCACACCACACCAGATAAATTCCATAATAATCTTTCAGCTCCTCGTGTAGGGTCTTTGACTGCTTTTCCATGTGATCTTGGTACTAGCCTATTTCGTGTCAGAGTCCTTGCCACAGTGTTGTATCTCCTTTGTCAGCACACGAGGAGTCTCAGGTTACAACGCTGGCTCATTTTTGTATATTATTTCTCTAGCATGAAGCTTGTTATATAGAAATCATGCAGTAACTAAATTAAATTCTTTTAAAAAGCAGACTTAGTCATCAAAAATATTAATGTGCTAGAATTGAGTAACATTAGATAAAAGAGAATTGAAACTTGTAGTTGTTTTTCTGTTGCTTTGCAAAATAACTTCAAATTTTCCTTTTAAAAAACTTTTGTAGTCTACGTTGGACCTTTCTGATTGTCTTTAAAGCCCTTTCACTGTCTTCTCACTGACAGCAAATACTATGTGAGATTCCTGCTGTCAGCTCTTGGCTGCTGTTGATACTGGTCTCATATTATCCCTCTTAGAAGCAAGTTAGGCAGGGCATTTGCTCTCTGGAATAATGTCACTTCAAAAAGCATTTTCTTTGTTTTTTTTTATCTTGTGATTTATTAGTAAAGAAGTGTCAAACAAACAATAACACTGTATTTGAATTTTATTTTAGCAAAAGCAACTGGAAATTGAAAGAACTACCAAATGGCTGAAAATGCTGAAAGGATGGGAAAAATATAAGAATACCGAGAAGGTAATTTAAAATAATGTTATTTCCATATGAAGCTATTGAAATTCATTGTGGATTTTCACAGTAAGAGTTTTCCTTCAATTATTCCAATGTTTACACTCACGTTTATTTTTGAAATTTTAGTTTAATGAAGCAGAATGCTTTATCTTAAAAATCTTCACGTTGGAAATGGAGTCCCCAGGTCAGAGTGGTTCCAGCAGTCAGAGCAGTGCTGGCTGTCCAGAGGTCTAGTGTAACTGGGTTTAACTGCTCTGTTATGTCTTCTGTGCCTCAGTTTCTTCTGCTTCCACTCTGGCTTCCCTTTGGGGTCAGAATCCTTGCTGTCGTTCCAGACCTCACATCCATATCACATTGCTGAAAAAGAATGCCCTCTGAACACTTGTCCTGGAAGCAGGAGCCATCTTCTCTCCAGAAGCTTCCAGAAACCCTTGTGCTGCTCTGCCCTGAGTCCCTGCTAAGTTTTAAACCAAGTAGAGGGGTACGAGAGGGGAACCAACAAAACTAAAACTCAAGTTCCTTAAGATCACTCCCAGTCTTGCTGAGAAGATTCAGCAGGTTAATGTGCTGTGCAAGCCTGGTGGACCAGAGTTTGAGTCCCCAGCCCATATAAATCAAGTTGTCCTCAGACGGCCATATGAGTGCTGGAGGATGCTTTCCAAAGTTTAATGTTACCAGTTGCAACACGGTGCCAACAGTTTTCCTTCAAGTCAGAGCTTTCATGTATTTATTGTGAGAAAATGCTTGCCAAATATAGCCATAAATCTGAAGAGCCCTAGAACTGTGGGTGGTTAGTTGTTCTTTCAAGTATAATGGCATTCTGTGAGATGAAGCATTTGGTGCAAATTGTCATTCAGACATCTTGAGAAGCACTTTTTCCAAGGTAGGTACCAGCTCCAGAAGGACTTCTGATTTCATCAGTCAGCATATCACTGCAACCTGTGCCCAAGAGTTTAAGAGTTAATTCAATTAGTGCTTTCTATGTTAGGAACATTCCTATGTAAAACTGACCTTGTAAAAAAAAAAATGAGTAAAAAGTACAGTAATTCCACATTGTACTGTTGTTGCCTTGGTTTGTACCCTGTGGTAGTAGCTTTATTACCATCCCTTTCTGCCGTCAGTGCAAAAGTCATAGTGAAAATGGAAAGAGACAGCGTGTTCATATTTTGAAAATGATTTTGGTCTCATGCTTGCAAACCCCTAATATCTCACCTTCAGTTCATTCACAGTGTAATAGTGCTCATTTTAAAGGGATGCTGGTCTGATGGACCAACACAGGAAAACTAGCATGACCTGGCCTATAGACAACACCCAGTAAATGCTAGTTACCTGTGTAAAGCTTTTAAAGGGTGGGAAACATCCTATGCCAGAACACAACTAAGCTAACTTTTAGAACTTGTGGGTTTTTTCCCCTTCTATTTCCTTACTCTTTAAATTTTTAAATTCCACTTATTTAGTATCTGTGTATGTAGGTGCATGTGTGTTACAATGTGCAAATGGAGGTTAGAGTACAATGGTCAAGAGTCAGGTTTCTTCTAATGTATGTGGTCTCTGGGTTTTTAAATTAGGTTTTCAGGCTGGACTACAGCACCTTTACCTGCTGAGCCATTGCACTGGCCTGCATTTCTTTATACTTTCCCATGAAATCAGCCTTTCCCAAATACACACTTGTATAAGTACAAATTATTGTGTGTCAGCATAACAAGAATTGTGAAGAGCATCAGTTACTCGGGTTTTAACTGACGTAGGAGCAGCCCTGAGGCTAAGATAAAGCTCAGTGGAATAGTTTCGGTTTAAATTCCAGCTTGTCTCATACTAACTGTATGACTTTGGGGAAGATATTTAATTTTTCCACAGCAAGGTTACCTTGACGCGGGGCAACAGTAATGCCTACTTTTCGAGCTGTGGTGAGGATTAAATAACCTACCTTAGTACAGCATAGGAAGTGCTGCTTGTTAGCCCAGGAAAGGCTGTTTTGCAGTGTTGGGGAAAAGCAAAGTCAAGTAAGGTTTCTTTTATTATAGGACTCTTCAGCCGTTACTGTGGACTCTGACCTGCCATTGTAGGAAAATTATTCACTGTGGAGATCTTTTGGTTATAGGATATCTCACAGAGCTAAGGTCATCGTTTTTTCTTTGTGAGCACCACAAATATCCTTATTTTAAAGTTAAATTCTTACTATTCTATTTTACACCAAAGTGAGTTAATTTTGTGTTGTTGAGTCTTTGTTTTAACATTGAGTTTAGAACTCAAGATAATTTTAAAAGGAATCACTTCGAAGTGGGAAATTAGGTATAGTTTCTGTGCTCTTATTTAATAGCACACCCCCTCAGATCAGCTTGCAGCTGACAGCTCCTTTTCCTCTGTGGAAAGATTGCTCAAGCCATGATGACAGGATAAGTTTCGAAGCATCGCACCTACACTTTGGTTTCACATTCAGTCTAATAAAGTATTTGTAGGATTATGCGGCTTTATTCTTTTCCAGTCTGCATGTATCTGTTGAAGTAAGGAAGTCTGTAAAGATGAGTACTTCTGCTAGGCTATTATTCTGACAGCAACTCCAGCTAATGCAGTTCCCATTAAGAGGGATTTTAGCAGAACTATTTCTTTGATGTATAATTTTAAAGCACTCTCCCATAACTATAGTGGTAGAATCATTTGATGATATATATAGTCCAATTTGGTGTGAAACAGAATGTACCTTCTAAAAGAATTACCACCTTCAATTCATACCTTGTTTTAAATTACACTGATGTAAAAAGGTAACATTTATTTTTGTTTCTTCCAAAGGGAGGGAGGAATGTTTTCTCCTGAGTCCCTGCTTACATAGCAACCATGCAGAAAGGTTCTAAAAATGTCTTGAAATGCACACATGGCGCTAGTGTAGAATATTTGGAGTTTTAGAGCTGAGCTTTCCTGAAGGTCATGATGGCTGTGTTCCCGCAGTGATGGCCTGCCTGCTGCAACAGGGGCTTTGTTTCCTTTTACCTGGGAGGTGTGTGCTTACATCACAGGTACACAGGGTTGTCATAGAAAATGGATAGGAATGCTGTGCTAACTGGAAGACCAGCAGATAGAAACTACACTATGGACTTGTCAATATGCTTTGATGTAATGACTGATGTTTTACAAAATTGCTAAAACTTCTATCATGATTGACAAGATGGAAGGAAAAATGTGTAAACATAGCAAGTCAGTTATGTAAATGGTCAAGCATGGTCACTGCTCAGCATCTGAGGGGGTTGTTCTAGGACCCTTGTGGTTCCAGAGTCCACAGATGCACTGGTCTTTCATATCGAATGGCACAGTGTTTGTAAGTAGCCAGTGGCTAGCGTCTGTCATCTCCAGGCCAAGTGTACATGTGGTGTGAATATTTACTAGACAGCACTAACATGAAAGAAGTTTGAGACATTTGTAAAACAGTTTTTTAAAAAAATAATTTTGACTTGTGATTAAATCTAGAGATATAGAACCATGAGTCTAGAGGGCCAAGTATATGTGAAAATCAATAAGTGTAATTAAAAGTTCTTATTTTAGAAACATCTTCATTACTTTTCTGATATATGTTTAATGTGCATATTTGGTTGGATGCCAGAGATATCACTTTTATATTTCTTTTAAGTTCAATTATCATTGTTTCAGTGTTGTCTACTCTTAAGTTTTAAAGCATTTTTTGTCACTTATCCATATAGTTTAATAACTCTAGCTTGACAAAACCCATGTATTGTGGTCACGAAAGGATGACCTTTGTTCTTAAGAAATATAAACTCCATAATTGTATATCTGCTTCCATGTGTGTGTTGTATGCTTATGGAAAAGGGCCCATGATTACAATCACAGTTTGGGGGAGGTACAGATAAGTGGATCCCTGGAGCTTGCTGGACCATCAGTCTGGTCTACTTGGCAAGTACCAGACCAATAGAGACCCTGTGTCAAGAGATGGAGGTAAACAGTACCTGAAGAATTAAGAGGAACTCCTATGTTATTATTTGGCCTGCACATACACATGCATAATATGTGTGTCTGCACACATGTACCCATGCAGCTTCTCAAACGAAAGCATAGGCGCGTGCATGCACACACACCCTTCGAGCTTATGTGTCTAAGTTGTGAATAAAACAGAAGAATGTAATGCTTAGACTTGGGTTTCATCTCTTAGATACATCATTATGTATATGCAAGTGTTGTAAAGTCTAAAGAAATAAGTAAAATCTCAAACCCTCCTTAAGGGTTCCTGCCATAATTTATTAATAATTTCTTCTTTTGGACATTAATTTTTAAATTTTGAAGTGTTATTATATATCACATTGTAATGACCTTAATAGATTTGTATATTGTTTTGAATGGACTTGAATCACATAATTATAAGATAAGGAAGCCTGTTGGGTCTTAAGATCCTTAGAGTAATTGCAATGTATATTTCAAGAACCTAAGATGATAATGATTACTTAGATGCCTAATGTTTTTGAAAAGCAAATTGTGGGCTGGGGAAGTACCTTAGTAGTTGAGAGCACTTGCCTATCATGTGCAAGGCCCTGGGCTTGATTCCCTACATAGCTGACAAAGGAGTAAAGAGGGGTCTTTGTCTTTCTTTGATGGAAATTTGCCAACTATTTAGTATGCTTTTAAGAAAAGGGACAAATGGTGAGGTGGGCAGTTGAGCTAACTGGGGTCTGAGATGGCACACCATGTATTCTACAGGGAGATGGTGTTAGGAAAGAGTTTATACGATGCTGTCTGCACTCATGAGGATGCTTTCGGCACAGGACCACTTCCTACTATTTGGATCACCTTCTAGCAGTGTGGGAAAGGATGGTATATAGTAAGAAATGTGTAAACAAGATGAGTCGCCAAAGAGCATTGGCTCTGCTCCTTTTAACCTAAGGACACTTCTGTGATAGTCAGGCATTCCGATTTACCAAGTGTTCTTGACGGTTCTTTTTTTCCTATTTTCTTTTGGTAGTTTTTTATTTTTTTCCTTCTGTGATTATGTTTCCCTTTTAAGATATAAAAAAATAAATAAGTGACAAAACCTAATTGTATTGACTTATTAAAATTTATAAATTAATAGTCATAAATATCTGGAAAAGAAAACCTGAGAGATATTCAGTAGACCAATGGAAGGGACTATTTGAACTTTTGTCAGTTTGTAACCTCCAGTTTCCTTCTTTTTTAATCAGTTTCATCGACGAATTTACAAAGGAATTCCACTCCAGCTCCGAGGCGAAGTCTGGGCTCTTCTTCTTGAGATCCCTAAAATGAAAGAAGAAACAAAAGACCTTTATAGTGTGAGTAGCTAAATTAACTATGAGTTTGAAGTTAAAATGCAAAATCGTTTCTCTTTTTTTTTAAGGTGATAGGGTATTCTCCGATCACCTGAAATTGTATTGAGATTTCATTGTTTACTGTTTTGTTGTTGTTTTTTTTTTTTTTTAGTGCCAGTCTACTCAAATTTTAGATCAAGTGTTGTCTGTATCGACCACTATTGTTAGACACTGACAGTGATCCATTAGTGCTAGGGCATATTTATAAGGAAAGTTGACTTATGTTTGGTTGTTGTACTAATAAGAAGATGTATATCATGTTCAGAGTTTATGGGGAAGGTAAAAGCAGAATCCCATTTTCTAACACTGCCTGTGTGTACTCTTTCTAAACCTACGTTTATATTAACCTTTGAAAAAAATGAGAATTTACATCTAAGATTCTTAGATCCATAGGTTTTAAAGTATGTTCCATAGAAAATGTATTTACATAGAATGAATTACAACAGAACAAATGGGGGGAAAAAGAAAAATCAATTTAAACCCAGGCAGTTGTGAAAGACACCTTAGTGTCTTTTGGTATTTTTCTTCCCTATGTGCGAACTCAGATGAAAGCTTACCAAATGAAAGAGAATAAGCAGTAGTTAAAGAATTAATAGTTTTATGAGAGTACAGGGCTTCACACAGGCAGTGAATTTTGCGTTTCAGGGTATTAGAGTTTGACATTACTTTAGACTAGTGATAAGATTATTATTAGCATCAAGTTTTTAGAGCCCATCTTCAAAGTGATGTTTACCTGAGAGAGCACACATACAGTTTAACTCTAGCACTTAGAACAGTGTGCCCAGCATACAGCACGTGCTCAGTAACTATCTGGTTAATAAATGAACACAGAAATTAGCCAGACCACACAGTACTTTTGTCTGCATACTGCATTCATTTCCAGGGCTGCGGGTGACCAAAGTCAGCAGTTTGTCCTGTCACAGTTCTGGAGGATAGAGTTCAGAAATTAGTGTTGCAGCAGGGAAGACTCTTTCCTGGCCTTCTGCCAACCTCTGCTGGCTGCCCACAATTGTTAGTGTTCCTTGGCTGTAGCTCTGTAGCTCCTTCTCTGCCTCCTGTGTCACATGTCACGTGTCTCCTCCCTGATAAAGGTTGCCAGCCGTTGGATTTCAGTTTTGTTGTTCTGCACATGCTCTCTTCTGAGCTTAATAGTGATTTCAAAGTCTCTGCTTCCCTATAAGGCCACATGCACTGGTTCTGGGTGGACACGAGGGGACACTCTTCAACCTAATATATATATATTTCCTAGTTCACATAAGAGAGTGGTTTAGTAACCCAGTAACAACAAAACAAATGAGTGTTAAGGCTCCCAAGCTAATTGTTTAGTTTGATACCTTCAGACATTAAAATTATTGCTTCATTCTCCTCGTGACATCATTTAATCATGCCTTCTTTTTCTGATCTTCTTTCCTTGTCCCTCTACAAAAATGACTTACGTTTCTGTCTGCACTATGCCATGAAGTGATTTTTCCTTTTTTAATCTACCAAGGTATTGTGTTCTGAGATGGAGCCTGGCATGTTGGTATATTCAGGCCTTTGGCTTCATCTGCAGACGTCTGTGCTTCTTGTTGGAGCAGAGCTCTGCATGGTGTTACATAGCACACAAAGGTAAAGGAGTGCAGTGTGCGGAGCTGGCGCTTCCTGTGAGGACACGAGACTGTGCAGATGTTTGCATTCTAGATAGTGCGTGACATTTACACAGCCAAATAAAAGCATTAACTGAGCTGAAATCCACAGAGTCTCAGTAGACTAGAAGACTTGAGTGGGGAAAAAAAATGGGTTGAGTTTTCAAAGTGCTTTAGAATGCCCTTTCTGATTCCCTTTCTCCAGCTGGGATCTGGTTGGTTTTAGTTTGAAGCTTCGTATTGTTGTATTTTGGAAACATCTTTCCTACTTCACCCTGTGGAGCATTGACCTTGTTAGGGTACTTTATGGACATTATTTGCGTGCTGTACAGGGATTGTCTTACTGAAGTCTTGCCATTACAGCATGAGGCAGGTTTTACTACTGTTTTCTGTGTCATTATTGTTTCATCTAACAGACCAGGAACCTGAGCTTAGCAAGGTTTTGTAACTTCTCACCCAGGGTGAGCAAAGAACCCAGTCTGTTCTGGCTCCAAACCAGTGTTTCCCCTTTTCATTTAATTATATCACATTTGTGTCTGTCTTGAATTTAGAAACATATGTTAAAGTGGCAGAAGGCCCATGCACCATGGTTCTGAAACTCCACAGCATGAGCCTAGTTCAGGCTTCTGGGAGGAACCCCACAGACACTGCTGGCCTTTCATCTCATTGCCGCCCTGTCAGCCTCTCTCTACAGTATAGGCTCAGTAGGTCTCTTCCTTTTAGTGAAAGCATTCCTCCATGTTATCACTGTGGTACTTGTGAATATGGATCTCCCTGTTGGGTAGTTGTAGAGTCTGCCCACCTACTTGTTAGTGGGATGTGGGTAGGGAGTGCCGTGTTTGTTTCACTGCATCTGCTGCCTGTAAATTCCTTGGAACATAAATAACATTTCTGCCCAGTGCACTTTTACCTGCTTCCTTGCCTTTGCTTCTGTCTTAATGTCTTTGCTGTGATTTTCATGTCTTTGAGAAAAGCCAGTATTATAGATATGTTTGGGTCTTTTTTTTTTTACTTCAGCTAAATTTTATTTTAAGACATTTTTTGGTCATGTCTTTCTTCCTATGTTTTGACATCTCAGTGCTTACCAGGAGGCCTTTAGAACAAGTGAAGCCTCTATATTTGACTGTTTCCTTAACAATAAAAGATATTTAAAAACCAAATATATACAGGTTACTATTTGTATTGCTTCAAAACTCTGGAACATACTGTGGTTATTCTTCATGTTTTTTTGGGGGGGGGGTATATTGTATTGCTGAGGATGAAACAGGTCTCTCATAGACTAGAAAAATGTTATCTCACTGGGTCATACTCCCCAGGCCACTCTCCTATTTTAAAAAGCTGCAGAAGGTCACACCTCAAAACACAGTTAAAATACTTAACATATATACACATAAATGTCAAGCCCATGTATATTATAGACATAACCACTTTTCCTTTTAACTTAGGGGTTAAAGTTATGTTTTATATATATATTTATTGGAATTAATTTAGACTCGGTTGTATCACCAGTATATGATAAATGACTCTATATGAATGTGTGTCTATAGATAATGATTCATACTTAAACATAGGTAAATACAAATAGTTACAAATTTTAATCATCTTTCTGGTTGAACACTGGTAATGAAAACAGTCATAATTTAGCTCCCTTTCCCCAGAAATGCCACCAAATTGACATCAGAGTTTTAAAAAAGGCAAACCTATAAGGAATAAGAAAATGAAGAAATCATGTCTACCACAGTTTGGACCTCAGAGTGCAGAGAGTTCAGACAGGCAGGCAGAGTAAACAAAACAAATCTGAGGAATCTAAGTTCTGTTCTGGCAGTAGGAATCTGGAGAAGCCACATGGTTTATGTCTTTAATCTCTAGAGGACTTGGTAATTACCACCTGCAGGTACCTCAGGACATAAAGGTGAAGCTGAACACTGAAGTGACTGAAAGTCTGTGGGTGAAGCAGTTGGGAGCAAGTCCCCAAGTCTCCTCCAGCACAGGCCCAGGACTGTAGGTCTCTTACTGGGAGAAGGTGAAGCAGCTGCTGTCCTAGCTGTACAGGGGAGTATAATACCCCAATTTTGGTACAGTTAGCTTTTTCTCAGGAATACCAACAGTTAGATGCCAGTCAGGAGCTGGAGAGAGATTCCCTGGGATATGTGACCAGTGCAAGAAAATAGACACAAAGACCTAGGATTCTAGGGGCTGCACTGCAACTGCCCTGTTACATCCCCACTATACAGAGACATCACTGCCCACTGTCGTGAAGCTCCATCTGGGCACATGGCTTTGTTTAATGCCTTACTTTCAAGTGGAAACACATAACACAAATATTAGTAGTCATTTGAGGAAAAGGACTTAAATTGGAGACAAATAAAAACAAGTGGAAAAATGCTCTTGCAAGAAACAGATCATGGAATAAGAAGAAAACCTAAAAGATTGTTGTTAGTATCTTCAGAGAAATAAAATCGACATTGCACCCACAAAACAGTATAGTAAGCTATAAAAAGGAGCATTCTGTAATAGCAAAGACCTTAAGAATATAAAAAAAGCAATGAAAAACTTAATTGAAAATAATTGAAAATTTTCAGAAAATAAAATTTAAAGGCACAGATACTAATAGAGAAAAAAGAAAATGAGCTTGATTAGAAGATCCCACACTATAATAACCAAGCTCCTGAAAGAAAATGGAATCATGGCAGGGGAGGAAGAGGAAATTGACATAGGAATCCAGAATTATTAAAGACAGCTTTGCAGAGATGAGAGATGTATGAGTTTGTAAGATTGAAGTGCCCAAATCTGGATGAAAATAGGTCCAAAACAAGTAAAGAAATGGACAACCTCCAAACAGAGTGCTCCCACCAGCTCCAGAGAAGGAAAGATCTCACCTAGAAACGAAGAATTCCAGTGGCAGCACAGGAGGCCAGGAAATGGTAAAGCACTGCCTTTTGAGCAAGAATGCTTCTAATTTAGAATTCTCAAGCAGGTTCCACAGTCATTTGAAAGAGAAGTCACCAGATATTTAAGATTTCCAAACCTTTGTACTTCTGTGGTGCCCATTCACAGCAGCTATTGGAGAATGCAGTCCATAAACCAAGACGCAGGAATCAGGGACCCAAGCTGAGAGCAAAGCTAAGGAAGTCCTAAGACCAGAGGCAGTAGCCTTGAGGACAGGCCACCCAAGCAGAAGACTGGCTGCTTTGGGAGAAAGTTTAAGAAGTTGGCCACTAAGCCAGCCTCGGTAATGCATGTCTTTAATCCCAGCACTTGGGAGGCAGTGGCTACAGATAACTAGATCTCTGTGAGTTCAAGGCCAACCTTGTCTATGTAGTGAGTTCCAGGCTAGCTAAGGCTGCTCAGTGAGACCCTGTCTCAAACAAACAAACAAAAGATACAAAGAAAAGAAACTGGATATTCTGTGAATTCTACAGAGTGCTTCAGATTGGTGTTGAATTTCCTGCAAGAATATAGAAAGTGGCCGGGCGGTGGTGGCGCACGCCTTTAATCCCAGCACTCGGGAGGCAGAGGCAGGCGGATCTCTGTGAGTTCGAGACCAGCCTGGTCTACAAGAGCTAGTTCCAGGAAAGGCTCCAAAACCACAGAGAAACCCTGTCTCGAAAAACCAAAAAAAAAAAAAAAAAAAAAAGAATATAGAAAGTGAAGCAAATGAAGAAGCAGTAATTCATTCTAAGCAAAGAAAATCCTGAGCCAGAGGAAAAAGATTTTTTTTTAAAGATTTATTTATTATATATACAACATTCTGCCTCCATGTATGCCCACACACCAGAAGAGAGCGCCAAATCTCATTACAGATGGTTGTGAGCCACCATATGGTTGCTGGGAATTGAACTCTGGACCTTTGCTCTTTGCTCTTGACCGCTGAGCCATCTCTCCAGCCCCGGAAAAAGAATTTTTTGAAGAGTGCACCACTCAGCCATGTTAGTCCTACAAACCTCAGACATTCCCTGATCTAAATCTGATACCATGGAAGGGAAAGGCTGTGAGCAGAGTAGATGGGGGCATGGAAGGAAGGAAACGTTTTCTTTGTGTGTCTTTTTATATTGCCTAGATCTTTCTTTAAGCCATGGGAATTATTTCCCTAGCCCTACCCTCTGCCAATACATTCATTCATGCATGCATGCATGCATGCATACATACATACAGTTTTTAATTAGGATCATTTTGCTATTTATCATAGAGTTTTCGCAAGTATTTTTCATGAAAATATATTTTCTTCTCTTTTTCTTCTTCAGAAATTAAAACACAGAGCACGAGGTTGTTCACCTGACATCAGACAAATAGACCTTGACGTGAACCGCACATTTAGGAACCATATTATGTTTAGAGACAGATACGGCGTTAAGTAAGTAAAGTTTAATATTATAAAATGTGAATAATGCATGTACAAATGGTCTTTATTGGAGTCTTTAAGATGAACTGTACTTTTAGGATGTCTTGTTTGTACTATAATTTTTATTTTGATCCTAAAAGTTTTTGTAGATCATTTAATTCCATGTTGAGTGAAACTGGGGTCTGACTTAATTTACCATTTAAAACATTGGCATAGTACATGTTGTAAAATTGGTAAGGAATTATTTTATGATTGTAAAATTCTTAAAAATATTTTGTAGGTACTAGGGAGGCTGAGGCAGGAGGATTGCAAGTTGATGTGAGACCATATATTTATTTGAAAACTGTTGGTAATAAGTTTATCTCTCGAACTGTGACCTCATGAATAAATGAAACCTGAAAGAAGAAAATGAATTAAATGAGAAGTTAATGTATGGAGTACAACAGAGCATTTGTCCTTACCGCAGTGGCCATCACTGTGTCAGTGTAGTAATGAAAAGACACTATTTTGCCGACCTATGTATCATTTAGAATCCAATCAGCAACGCAAAAGCTGTAGGCTACAGTGTTAAGATCTGCTTGACCAGGAAGAGCAGGCTGGAAAGTTCAGTCTCTGTGTGCCTTGGATAATTTTCCTGACTCAAATTTAGTAAACAGCGGATTTAATCACATCTGTAAAACTCTTGAGCGCAGCACCTAGGTCAGTACTTAAATAATAAGGGAATTGCAGCCTACCTGGTATAGTTGACCATTGCAGCTTGTCCTTGTAAACTTGGTACTCACACACATCCCTTTAAACCATTCTGATTCCATGTGAGGCTGTAACAAAATCATACATCTGTCTAGTCTGATGCAACTATTTTGTTCACAGCTGAAAACACATTAACCCTGTCCACAAGTGCATTTCAAGTCCTTTGCTGGTAGTCACGCTCAAATAATATATATATATATAACTGTATAATAGTGTAACTGTTGTATAGAGTCACCTATTAGTACTTCTAATATAAGACAGCGAGAGAAAGAAAATACTAACATATAGGCATTCACACCAAAATAGAAGGGTACAGTTATCCCTGTGACTGGCCATGTGTCATGGTGTTTATAAATACATTTTTCCATTGCCCATCCCTCAGCAAGTACCTCAGCTGTGTTATAGGACTTAGGGCTTCAATCCTGAAAAATCTGAACCATTATCAGTCTCTCTAAATAATGTTGCTATAGTTTTCCATAGTTTTCTTTACACATATACTCTTTGTATGTACTTAGTACGTACATGCTAAGGAATTCCCCAAATAGTCTCCTTTATTCCAGGTGTGATTTCTTTGTGTCCTTTAGGTAGTACCATCAACCTCTCACATAGGGATCAAGCCATCCTGAGTAATGTAGTCACTTCTTTTGCCTGTTGAACCCAAAAATGACATAAGAAGCCCAAAGCAGTTGTGTGGTCGTTTCACTTCCAAGTTGATGGAGTCACTGTTGTATCTCCCTCTAGTCTCATTCCTCTTTTTTGTCTTGTTCTGCTTTGGGATTTTGAGGTAGGGTCTCACTATATAGCCCAGGATGATGGCTTAGAACTTGTGATCCTCCTCCCTTAGCCCCTGGATGCTGGTATTACAGATGTTCACCACCAGGCCAGTTCTGTTAGAAGTAAGATTAAGTCAGCAAAGATTGAAGTGGCATAAACTTCAGCAGTGAGTTGTCAGAAATGTAGTGGGTGCAGCCCCCTACCTTCACTCTGATGGGTAATCTAGTCTTAGGATGGGACTCTTCTACTTCCTGGGGAATATCTTCCCGGACTGCCATTTCCTGCACTTAGCTACTACTCTAAGAGTCTTCAAGAGGCCGTCCATATCTTATTTCTCTAGAGGCTTCAGAGTAAGATCAGCGAAGCCTTAGTACTTCCCATATGAAGTTTTTCTATCTGAATGTATGATAATGTCTCAAATTTAAACTATTATATTGAGAATTCTGGTTCAATTTGAGCTTGGTATGCTTTTTTTCTTTAAAAACTACAATAGTAATTTTATTTGAATTCTTTTTGTTTTTAGTCAGCCTGTTTTTTTTAAGTTTGTAATTTTAAAAATTAAATTCTTTTAAAAACTAAATTATGTTTAATATAAATTTTCAATTCTCTAGGCAACAATCCTTATTCCATGTTCTTGCTGCATATTCTATCTATAATACGGTAAGTTGGGTCCTGCTTGCCTAGTTCTTTGAATTGTATTCTGAAGAACCAAAGATTCTTGTTGGCACTCTACATAACATGGCACTTGTAGGCCATTTCTTCATGTCAGATGGTCTCCATAGTCCCATGAGCTCTGGTGTTTTTATAGCTCCCATGTTAACCCAAGATCTGATTTGGAAGTAGGAAAACCTAGATATGACTACAGGATGCCTGTGAGCTTCACTTTCCCTCCCTCCAGATGGTTTTTGTTTTGTTATATTTTTGTGGTCTTTGGTTTTCTTTTTTAAGCATTTAAGATTAGGCATGGCAGGGTAGGAGAGGGAGCGGTGGCCTGCTGCCTCTTCCTCACTCCTGGCAGGTACTCTTGTGATACCCAAACTTCTCACCTGTGGGAGGTCTGTGAGGAGTAGACTAAACCTTGTGTCTGCAGAAACACAGAGGGGACAAGACAGAAAACTGAGATTTTTGGGAACAGTTTGCCAGCTTCTGAGAACCATATATTAAATAAAATTAATACTCACATTGTTAGAGACTGTATTGCCATATTACATGTAAAAGTTTTTTTTTTTAAATGTATCTTGTTCCCCACACCTGTTTACTCTTGAGCACAGTTGAAATCTTGTATAGCATGTGTCCCGATGCTGTAGATATGACAACAGTTATCTCTAGAATTGCCCAGGCATTTCCTGGTATTTTACAGATTAACCTTTCTCATGTATGTGTTCATGGAATTTGATTTTAAAGCCCCCAGTCTGTATTTTCATTGCTCCTTAGGAAGTCGGGTACTGTCAAGGGATGAGCCAGATAACAGCCCTACTCCTCATGTACATGAACGAGGAAGACGCCTTCTGGGCCCTGGTCAAACTCTTCTCAGGCCCCAAACATGCTATGCATGGTAAGAAAACCTCATATATACGGATAAACAAGCAGGGGGAAAGCAAACGGAAGGAAAACAAATGATACCTAGTGAATTTAGGACAGCAGATGTCAATCCCAGGCCTTCTTCCAGCCTTACATTTCATTCCATCTTAAGGAAAAGGCTAATAACAAAATTTGACAAATTTTCACAAAATGCATAACACTTTGGTTTGTTTTCAAATTAACAGATTGAGTTTAATGGCCTTTTTCTTACATTTGCCAAGAAAATACTCTAAACTTTATTTCATTGTTCGCATTTTGCAACTTGTCTTAGGAGTGAAAGTAGTATTTGTTCCCAGAAAGCAGGATTATGTGTTGTTTTGTCCCTAGTGCCATCTATGCCATCTAATAGCAGCTTTGAGACAAGTCGAATAGCTGAGGTCATCACTCAGTATTAGAGCACCTCTCTTGCATGTGCAAGGCCCTGAAGCCAATGTACTAGTTATACAAGACAGTGTTAGGTGAACCACTTAGGTTCACTTTGTGAGTATTTATGCTTATAGAGTGGGTGACCCTAGCACAGAGAATGCTCATTTAAATATTTCAAGATTAGGATTCTCCATAGTCTTATTATATAGTAAATCTGACAGGCTCTTTTTAGAAAAAGGTGGGCTTGTGCATGTGCTTTTGTCTTGCTCCCTATGTTACTCACTGGTTATTTAACAGATATCTGCATGATAACTGATTCTGGGTACTTTGAGTGCCTTAAATGGACTCCAGAAGCGAGACATACTGTTGTATCAAGCTACCATCTAGTAACCTGTTTGATTTAAAAAGACACCTTGACAGAAAGAACTCGTCATCATTGGTCTTTCTCTGGGCTCCTTGTGTGATGGTGTTGCCAAGCCATCCTGGAATATCATGGAGCTTTTCCTACTTTGGTGATAGGTTAATTGTGTGATGATGTTTTTCTCTACTTTTTGAAGGTATTTTCTTTTAAACCTCTTCTGCTGACTTAGCTTCAGCTGTCACCATCTAATCTTTAATCAGTCTTAATTTTACAGCCCTATTATTTGTTCTTACAGTTTAGTTTAGGCCATTTTTATGGGTAACTTTATACTTGAGGGATTATTTGTCTCTAGATCTGGGCAGTTTTGTGACTGATGGTTACCTTTGATCTTTATATTTTTTATATGAAAATTGTAAGTATATGGGATCAACCCAGAACTGGGCAGAGACCAATTTAAAATACTGAGGCCAGAATGTCACTGAAAAGTGAATAAATGTTAGACAATCATAGCATGTTTAAGCTGGTTCTTACTGAAGTGCATTGGCTTTTTAAAAAAACAAGTCAGATTTTCTTGAAATTTTCCTATCTCCCATTCCTCTCTAATTGACCATGAAAGTGGTTCCAATTGAAAGATAAAGATTTTTAAATAAAATCATTTTACTGTTTAAAAAAAACTATTTCTGAGGGACAAAAATCTTTGTAAATTTTAACACACATCTTCAAAACTGAACCTATGTTGTAAGTGCAGTGTTTCGTTGCTCTTTTCTTGGTTCTTGAAGCACACTGGGTCCTTATTACTCTGACTTTACTTCCAATGGAAATCACAAATGTGAATTTTGTGTAGTTTTATTAACCAGTATCCGGTGACATTTACAAAACTGTATGTGCATTTTCTTAAGGGGTTGTGTTAGAAAATGTACTACTTCAGTGTATTAGGATCTCTCATTATACTTGATATTATGTTTAGAAAACCATTGCTTTTTAAATTACTTGCTATGTGGAGAGTTTAATGCACTCTCAGATAAACAAATATGTGAGACTATATGCTAAAGCAAAATAGGTTTCATTAAATCTGAAAGAAAGCTTAATGTTTATAAACTATTGTCAATAATGAATATCTAAGGAGAATCTGTCCATCATACCTTTTCCTGGGTTCTTAGGAAACCAAAAGATGTCGTTTAAATCTCCCAGATGTGCTTAGAAACTAGGTTTGAAAATACTAATTGCAGAAATAAAGTCTATTGAGTATATGTTCTTGAAATGATTGAATAAATACGTGAAAAGGAACTTCTGAATAAAAATAGTTATAAATTCAGTGAACTAAATATGCAAGTTAGTATTAATTTACCATTTACAGTCAATTACTTTTTAGAAAGTAATTGTGTATAGGTTTTGGTATAACCTTAAGTGTCTGCATGTTTTAGCTGATGTTAAATATAGCTTATGAAAAGAATTTAAAAGTGATTTTAATGTAAGAAATGTAGAAATACAGTAGTGAAATTGTTAGTGTATTCTTGGCAAACAGTAAGATGTGGAAGGCAGTAGCAGTAGAGCAGAGTGGTTGTCAGGACTGAAGAGCTTAAAGTCACAGCTAGCAGAAAGGAGGCTGTTTGATAAATAAATTCCGTTTCCATTGTCTTTTGGTGTTAAACTTTTCCTCCTAATTTAGAAATATGTTTTCCTCTTTATTAGTTCTACAAAGTAAAGGCGGTAGTTAGCAAGCAAGTACTAGCTAAAAGTTTTACTCTCCAAAGCTCACATGAAATTATTTCCAAGATGAGGAAGAAAACACCCTGGTAACTAAAGATGTTGGTTTTGTTTTACAAGTTCAAATACAATATATTATATTTTTAAGTTGGGGTTTTGTTGGTATTGTCTCTGAAGTTCTGATTTTATGTTTGTGTTCTAGGCTTTTTTGTCCAAGGTTTTCCTAAACTATTGAGATTTCAAGAACATCATGAAAAAATTCTGAATAAATTTCTGTCCAAACTTAAGCAACATTTGGTAGGTAGATGTGTCACTGACTTATAGCCTCCAGCACTGAGAGTGAAGCCGTAGTAATTAATTAAATTCAGCAGGGGTTCCCTGGTTCTGGTTACCTCACTGTCATAATCCTCGATGCTTTAAAGAACATCGGATTTGTAAAATTTAGTATTCATAGACTACCACAGTCCTAATTCATAGGTTCAGATTACTTCTATGAAGTTGATAAATACTACTAATAAAAGCTTTAAAATGTGTGATTTCTCCATTATGTTTTAGGTTTTAAATTGTACAAAAAGCATTATAAGAAGCATAAAAACTGCTTCCTTGTGAACACATGCATGCTTTACTATAAAATATAATGGTGCAATGGAGCAGTTCACTGCAAAATGTACTAATGATTGTGTTATAGTCCTATCATGGTGACATATTCCTGTGATAATTCTTATTAGTTAAATTTAGGGATTAAAAACAGGAATAGAAAAACAAAGTATGAAACTATGAGATGGTTATTTGCTCACCTTTGACAGCCTCCTTACTATTGCTATTTTGTTTGTTACAACTCAGAAATTATGAGATCTTTGTTTTTTAGGATTCTCAAGAAATCTACACAAGTTTTTATACAATGAAATGGTTTTTTCAGTGTTTTCTTGATCGAGTAAGTACTTTTTATAAACCTCTTTATGAAAGTGCACAACCAAGGTAAGGGAAGCACTAACAGTACCTTGCTCTGCTTTGTTCTTTGCCGCAGACTCCTTTTACGCTGAACCTCAGGATATGGGACATCTACATCTTTGAAGGAGAGCGAATTCTTACTGCTATGTCTTACACAATCTTGAAGTTACACAGAAGTAAGGAAACGTTTGGCTGCAGAGACTTTACAAAAGTCAAGGCTTATTTTAACTCCTGCTAGCTTGGGCTCCCTCTACCTCATGGTTTATTTTTTTTTTTAATTTTTCATGATGATCATCAGGGAATTCCTGATTCTCGGGACTAGATCCACGTTACATCAGAAGGTCTTGGATCCTTTCTCTTTCTCAGTTTCATTTTCACACTTGAATAGTAGGGTGCAGTTTTCGGTGTCACTAATAATATTCTTCTTGTATTGGTTTCCACTGGAACCCTTGCTCTTCTAGTTGGTCTAAGTCTCAGGTTTGTAATAAGGCAGAGAGAGCAAAGAAACAAGGCCTCCTAGGTGAGTGGGCCCAGAAAAAATATATCTGTTACTTTCTCTAAGGGAAAGTACATCCAGTTTCGAGCCCTGGATGAGACTTGACTGTCATGGCTTCTAGGGCAGCAAGCCTTCCTTCCTTCCTTCCTTCCTTCCTTCCTTCCTTCCTTATTAGTTAATTTTCCCAGTTTTCCCTCCCTTCTCTCCTTCCGCTCCCCCACTTTCCCAATTCCATCTTCCATCTGATCTTCAGAGAGGTTAAGGCCTCCCCTGGGAAGTCTCCTAAGACTGGCCCATGGCTTGTGCCCCCAACATCCCGTACCCCCCGTGCCTAGGCTGAGCAAGGTATCTATCTCTATATAGAGAATGGGCTCCACCAAATCAGTTCATGCATTAGGGTTAGATCCTGATCCCACTGGCAGTGGCCCCTTATACTCCCCAAGCCACACCATTGTCATCTGTATTCAGGGGACCAGCGATGTTTTCAGAAAAATGAAAGGGGCTCTGTAGATAAGATGTGTTGGACCTTAAAGGTCAGGAAATGAGATGTTTTACATTTCAACTTAGAGCCATCTGACTCCTCTTGTAGCTCTGTAGAAATGTGGGTCATGGGCAGCCTAGAATCATGTTATCTACATGCACATTTGTGTGTGCCCCACTCTGGTACATCATTCTTGAATGATTTGTTTGGCATTCTGACTAAGTTATAAACCAGCTGAGAGCATGGGGACAAGTTTATGGGTTGTGTCCCTGCTGTTCCCAGCCATCTTCAATGCTTTCATTGAGTTTTCTTGGCCGCTGACTTGAACACACAGAACACATCAGTGCCGCATTAACCACACTTCACCTGCGGTGGGACCTCGGTATCTGTGCTTTTCCAGAGCAAAGCTGTCAGGAATGCTGTGGTGATGGTCCAGCACACAGGCTAACACCAAAACAAAGCTTTGACAACACACTTCCTTCCCAGAGTCGGGTTGTATCATTGCTGGACAAAAGCCCTTTCCCTTCACCTCCACTCCTTCTCCTCCTTCCTTTATGTCACTGCTCTTGTTATAGGTTATAAATAGATCAAAATATACTCAAAAAGTATATCTTTCCAGCACTCGGGAGGCAGAGGCAGGAGGATCACTGTGAGTTCGAGACGAGCCTGGTCTACAAGAGCTAGTTCCAGGAGAGGCTCCAAAACCACAGAGAAACCCTGTCTCGAAAAACCAAAAAAAAAAAAAAAAGTATATCTTTAACAGTAGTTTAATTGTCTCTAAACAGTGAAAATTAGAAGTGTAATGCTATATGTCTTTATAGCTCTCATCTCCCTTTAAGTTATTTCACTTAGTATGACTTTAGCCTTTGTAAATAAACTCTGAGCATAGCAATTACTTCCCATGCCAGTGTATCATTAGACTGTACAAGCTGTGAAAAATCCTGCCTGCTGCTCTTTCTTTTCTTGTTTAGGAAGCAAAGCTCTTCCATCTTCAGTGAGTTTCCTGTGCCACCATATGAAAAAATAAATGTTGAGGAATAGGGCACACCGGGAGATGTTGCTCTTGGGCTACAAAGTTTTACTAGATGGAAGGATACAGTTTGGGGATGTACTATTTGGCTTAGTATGCACCCTTAGTAGTTATGTGTAACAGACTGAAAGTTACCAAGAGAGTAGACTTTAAATGATTGCCTCACAAGAGTAAGTGTACTTGGTGGTGGATCTAAGAGTCATAGAGGTGTAGTCATTCCACGGTGGTGAGCCTGTATTAAAACACTGTGTGTGCCAGAATGTCACTTACAATATGTCACTTGCTAGTTAAAAAAAATAAATAAAACAAAAAGAAATCTCTCTGGGTATCTTAACAGCTGACCCTAGTCAGAGACCTATTCCTTTCTTGATTTCTTCATGATTGCTTTAAAACTAGTATTACTGGAGATTGATTACACAGCAGTTTTAGATGGGGAAAAAAAACAAAAACAATGTAAATGCACATGGTTGGACTAAATGAGCAATACTACATGCTGCTCAGTTAACATCACTACTACTAATAGCTGAGAGAGAGCATTTGCATGCTTTTGAGTAAGGCGAAGCAGGTGAACTTAGACAGTCTAACTTGTGTTGTGAGTTGAGCCCATACATGTAGATGAACATAGCACACCTGTCTGTAAGGTATGGGTAGTGATGTCTTACTGGGTGTCTGTTTCTGATTTCCAGCTGTAGTGTGATTTTTTTTATTTTTTATTTTTGCTAATAAAGTTAATTTCCTCAGTCGAAATAATACAAATAAGGTTAGTAATTTTTTTTTTGGAGGGAATTTGCCAGTCTGAGTTATGTTCCAGCCAATAAATGAGATAAATAAATGCCTATTTACTCATAGGAGCTCTTGTTGTAGTTTAGTGTTAATGCCCAGACATGGTTACTCATAAACCAGTGAGAAAATATTTGGTCTTGTACATCTCTCTGTCTTTTCTCCTAATAAAATCAACCTGCTTTCTCTAATGTCAAACACTATCCTGCTGAGTTTTAGTGATGTTCACAGTGCCAACTATAAGTTGTGTATATATCTTTTTAATACCCTATTTTAAAACTCACTACACTCAAATAGAGTATATCTTCTTCTCAACCTAATAGAACTGTTGATTGGCATTTGCATTTCTCTCATCCTTTCCTAGAACATCTAATGAGATTGTCTATGGAAGAACTTGTAGAATTTCTTCAGGAGACGCTCGCCAAGGACTTTTTCTTCGAGGATGATTTTGTAATCGATCAACTTCAGGTTTCTATGTCTGAACTAAAGCGGGCAAAATTAGATCTCCCAGAACCTGGTAAGAAATGCCCTGGCATCCTACATCAAATTCTAGCATAAGAGGCCATGACACAGTTAACACAAACTTTTATTGTTAAGGTGTAAGCATTACACTTGGTGAGAACATAATATCAATTAGTGTCTTACCAGCTGCTAGTGGCTTTTTTTTCTTTACAAAAAAAATTGAACATTTCATACATTTATACAACGTATTTTGGTCATATTCATCCTCCATTGCCTCCTTCTAGTTCCCTCAAGTGCCCCCATTCTTACCTCCTTTCCAACTTCATGTCTTTTTAAAATGTCATTAGTTATCTCCTTGCAGGTGTGTAGGGTCATCCTTTGGGGGTGGGGTGCAACCTATCAGCAGCCATATCCCCAAAGGAGAGTGACTCCTCTTCTCAGTAGCCATCAGCCCCCAGTATCTCCTCTGACAAGTGCATCTACATTGGAATTTCGATTACAAAAGTTATCTTCTCTCACCAAAGTTAAGAACAGCACAGGTCTGTAGTATAAACATAAATATTTAAAAGGCGATTAGACAACATGGTCATTTACCCAATAGTAACAATAACAACAATAATAATAAGGTTTGCCCTTAGGACCTATAACCTTGGTAGTCATGGGCCTTTGACCAAATTTATAGACCCAGACATGAAATCCCTCCTGTGGAGCATGCCTCATATCCAATCAGAAAGTGATTGGTTACTCCTGTAACTGTCAGGATATTATTTCAGCAGTGAGCACATTTTGCCAGGTGGGCTAGTATTGTAGCGTGCAGGGTCTATTACACTGGATGAGACTGTTTGTCTTGTCTCCTCGAGTAGGCAGCATAATAGTACCTTCTGGTACTTTATAAGCTATCTAAAAGTGAGGTCATTTTTCTATTAATCAAGGTTGATTTCTCTGTGTTCTGTGACGCAACAATATGGTCTTACCTTCTAGTTATGGTGATCAACCAAGAGGAATGTTAATAGCCTGTGTTGCTGTGGATGGTTCTAGTGACCACTCAGTAACTCATAGAGAGGGATTTCGTACTTGTCACTGAGAGTTTCATTTGATAACCATGTCTTATGGCTTTTCTTATTTTAGGTATGCTGTTTGAAGTTATTTTTTGCCATTTTCATTTTCCACTGTTATAGTAGGTAGTGTGGTAAGGGGCTAGGAAAGTGGAAAATATGGATGACAGAAGAAAAGTAGATTCAGTTATTCATGTTAACTGGGTTTGGCGTTTCCTCATCATGTGCCCTGTGTGATGCTCCTGTAAGAAAAGAAACAGACTCACATCCAGGAAGAGTTGTTTCCCTCAGAAGACCAGCTCCTATGCTTTGACTTAACAGAGGGCTTTAACCAGCACTCGAGTCCTGGAGTCATTAGAATTGACAAGACAACACCTCCTCACAATGGTAATTGAGTTGAGCATAGGCCATGGGAAACTGTGGCCTTTGCTAAGTGAGGTCAACCCTCCCTGATCAGTATAATGATGCCTATTTTCCACTAATTTTTCCCTGTAGCAGAAAATGCACTTAGAACAGCAATTACTATACTGTCCCTATCTAACACTTGTTTTAAATTGTCTTGCCTATATTAAAGAAGAGTTTAAGGCACTTTTAAATAAAAGATACATGTAAAGAAAAAAAAGCATATACACTGGAGAATTGTTTATTTAATATCCTCAGAAATACATGGTGAGGTAAAGTTTGAAACAGATCATGATGCTAACTAACTGTTTAATACCTATTTAATAACTAATGTTTATTCAGAATGTTACTATGTCACATATGTGGCATTTCTCATTTACCCCTATAAAAACAACTGTAGAATTGTGCTCCTAATTTTATAGGAGTAGCAATTTGTAGAATATTTTCAGTAGGAAAATGAGGGGAATCTGGCTGGGAGATAAAAGGAAAGGGGTGGGTAACTAGAACCAGAGACACTGTAACAATGTTCATTTTCAGAGTGTTTCTGCCCCCATGACTTGACATTGTTTTCCTCTCTAAGTTGTGGATTACGTATGGAACTGATGGGACATGACATGAAATTGTATCAAGATCCTTCCAAGTCATACCCATCCTTCAAACTTTTTATGTGTGGGGGATGTTTCCTGAATATATATCTGTGCGTCATTTGTGTGCCTTGTGTTCAGAGGGGCCAGGAGGGCATTGGCTCCTCTGGAACTGGACTGTTACAAACTGTCCAGTGGGTACTAGTGATCAGACATTGGTCCTGCCAGAGCACCCAGTATTTTCAGCTGTTGAGCCACCCTTTTAAAAGTATAATGACTGACACTCCCTTTGGCTCCTTACATAGTACACAAAATTGTATGCTTGCCAAGAGTATATATAGCAAGATCCTTACAAGAGCATGCTGTTGTGAAATTTTTAATATTTTTAGTGTTGGGGTAGAGGATCCCATTCTTGTTTTGGTTTACATTCCTTGAGTTGTAAGTCTAGTATCCTCCTTACAGATTTATTTCATCATCTGTGAGCTTCTCTACCCTGTTAGTGTTGTCTATAGGTACACTCATATAGCGTCCCTGTTTGCCCTCTGTGCATTGTACACAGCCCCTCGCAGTTAGGAAGTCACTAGCAGATTGTGTGTTACAAATTCTTTAAACGTATATTTTTTTCTTATGGTTTATTTGTATTAATAAAGATAATTTATATGAAGGTCTTCCCTTGTTCCAATATTTCTCAAATTTTTTGCAAATTTTTTTAAAAATTGCTTAAATCTTTTTAGTGAGTATCAATTTGTCTGATTAAGTCTAAGAATTACTTTGGTTTATTGGAAAATACCCCAATTCTCTTATTTTTCTAACAGCCACAGGGATCAACATCACTTAATATATTATATCTTGGTGTTTTGTTTCTGTCTATTGGTCTCTACTTTTACAGTTGCAAGTATTTGTAATATCACGTAGGATCAATTTTATATCATTGTTATCTTATTAAATTATCAAAAAAGAATCACCTAATGTTATTAGATTTGCACTTAAAGATTGATGGGTTTTGGAAGAGAAAAATCCTGTTTTAAAAATTAGATTCTGCTAAGGAAAACCTTTTTACCTTTAGTTGTACTACTTTACTGAACTTCGTTAGTTGTACCTTTTAAGGAACCCTGGTAGAGTTTGTTTCCTTTCTAAGACTGTTGCACACTTCTAGTGTAAATACTCTAGCCCCGACCCCATCTTGAGACTCTTTCTCCAAAAGATATCTGGCCACCAGTGCCAAGATATGTTGCAGACTTGACAGCTCACTAAAGCTGTGGTTGTCATTAAGTCATGAAAGGAAAACAGACAGAGGTCAGACTATGTTCCCCATTCCCTTGGGAGCAATGTATATTTATGTATTTTATGTGATATGGTAGAATGGGGTACAATTCAGAAAATAATTTTTGAAAGTTGTTCTCACTTTCTACCTTTTAGGACCTGGGCTCAACCTCAGCCTTGCAGTTTTACCCACTGAGCCAGCTCATTTCCATTGCTATTATAAGTTGGGTCTATTCTGTAGTTAGCAGCAATCCTCCTGCTTCAGCCCCTCTAATAGTGGAAAAGAACTACCATGCCCAGCTTGTTTTATTTTTAGTTGTTTCTGTAGTCACTGTGTTTGGCTCTTGGAAGTTTTCTAAGACTTTCGATATATGTTCAACAAATAATCCTTCTTTGTTCCTCTCTTTTTTGTTATTCAAACTAACTTTTCCAAGTTAAGAAAATATTCAGCTGTTTCTTTTTTTTAAAAAATATTTGTTTATTTATTATGTATACAATATTCTGTCTGTCTGTATGCCTGCAAGCCAGAAGAGGGCACCAGACCTCATTACAGATGGTTGTGAGCCACCATGTGGTTGCTGGGAATTGAACTCAGGACCTCTGGACGAGCAGTCAGTGCTCCTAACCTCTGAGCCATCTCTCCGGCCCCCTATTCTCAGCTGTTTCTAAACTGACTATTGTTAATGTTTTTGTACATTCACCTTATCTATATGTTTTATTTACTTTTGAGCAGTTTTGGAAACTTTGTGACTTTTTTCTTTTTTTCATATTTTGAAACTTTGATTTAATTTTTTTTAATTCATTTTATGTACCAACCACAGTTTCCCCTCCCTCCCCTCTTTACAGACACCCCTATCCAGTCCTCAGAGGGAGTGGGAGTAAGGCCTCCCTGGGGGAAGGGTCAACAAAGTCTGGCATATCAAGTGGAGACAGTACCAAGTCCCTCCTCTGTATCAAGGCTGAACAAGGCATTGCATCATAGGGAATGGGCTCCAGAAAGCGAGTTCATGTACCCAGGATAAGTCCTGGTCCCACTGGCAGTCGTCCCCGCAACAGATCTTTTCAAACATTTACTCAGGTAGCTAAATTTGTAGTGACCATCCTACCACAACATGCCCATTACACAGTTTATTGAATGTATTGAAGAATTTAAAAATGAAAGTAAAGATATCAAGATACATCACCTGAAAGCTGCAGTCACTGTGTCAGTGAAACCAGGGTATTCTTCTGGCTTAACCGGAGCACCAGAGCCACATCCACAGGAGTAACAGTTGATTCCCCAGTATACCCTCATGTTTATTCATGCTGAATATTTCCAGTTGTATTTGGATTGCCTTCTATGTTGTTTGTTTGATTGGTTGGTTAATTAAGGTTTACAGATTTGGGGGTTATTTATTATTTTTTAGTATAAGGGCTTATCCTTTGGCTCAAGTAGGGCAAGAATTTACTGTATTCTTGAACAAGTCAGATAGAGACCACAAAAGAGTGGTTTTCAAATTCATTGCTTTTATATTTTTTGATAGACTTTCTTATAACAAAGAGCTTTCCCTGTCTTATAAGCAGGGATGCTTAGATTGCCTTTAAATCTAATTCTTACTGAAAAGATGGAATAAATGTTGAATTTTTTTCTCCTTCACCAGTTTTCTCCTTGAAAATGGCTTCTATTCTGAGGAAGCCATTCATAAGCATGCTCTTCGGAACTGTGTGTTGATCTGTTGTGAATGACATTTTGGGTAGAAGTTATAGCTTAT